GGTTGACAATGCACGTTTGGACCCTACCAAAGCGAGAAAAGATGCTCCGAATCTCACTTTCTGTTCCGCCAGCACCGCCTACAAACAATGTACGACTAAGCACTCTGATATTATCGCGTGGAAGGGTCTCATCCCAATCAATATACTTGGACTGGCCATATGCTGCTGCCCTAGGCGGACTTGGCTGTCGTCGCGGTGGCGAGCGTTGCCGATATTCATTACGATCATTACGTCCTCCTTTTTGTTTGCCGCGGCTACGACCGCGCTCACCTCGCTCAAAGCGTTGCGAATTGCCTTCAGGGCCTGCATTTGGGTCGTAGACACCATATGTTGGGCTTTCCCGACGATTGGGGTTGGGAGGAGACCTATCCCCAGGCGATCGTCGACGTTGAAAGCCAGGCGATCGGCTACGGTCTCGCATTCTACTGTCTGTCTGATCATACCGATCTATTTGGTTACCGTTGATTACGATTGACTGCCCTTGTGGGGGTGTCTGTGTAGCCACTGGAGGTTGTAAAGACAACATGGGCAGTCCACCACTCTGAGCTGTGGCTAATGCGTTCAATACCTGTATTGCCTGATCGGGTTGGATTGAACCAGCACTCATGGCCTGTAGAATCTGTCCTGCGAGCTCATTCATTCCAGCGGGTGGGACAGGCAAACCGGGCTGTCCTGGTGTTACAGCAGGCGGCGGAGGCACGAAACCAGGAGGTGGAGGTGGCAATACGTTCTGTTGGAAAGGAAACGCAGGAGGTGCTGCAGGTGGAGCATTAGTAGGTAAATTCTGCTGGTTAATGCCAGCGAGGGCAGCAAACAGAGCATTAGTGTCTTGTGATGATTGCGCCGGAGGTGGCGGGGCAAGTGGCTGTGGGTTAGCAGTCTGTCCGTTGAAGGCTGGGGCTATGCCATTGCTCTTCGGTGGCTCTACAGGTAATTGAATGTCTGAGTTACCGTGCGTTAGCTAGAGAAAAGGCAACGCGTAGGCCTCGACCTACTATTGTGACCACCATTCAGTTGCTGTTTGAAGGAGGCCAGCATGTCGTGTGGAAACGTCTGCCCACGCTCCCAGATGTCTATAAGCTTGGAAATCTTCTCCTTTTGAGTCTCTGGTGCAGACTGGATGAGGTTCATCATCATGGCGGGTAGCACATCTCGCATCATCTGCACTCCTGAAGCATATGTTCCTGGTACAGCATTCTTGGACACGGTCTGGCCGGCCTGCTTAGCCCTCTCCACCCACTGGCGGGCGACTGCATCTACGACGTATAGCACTCCTAGCTTATGTGTGACGGCGCTATTCTGAAGCTGCTGAGCGATCTTCTGGACGATGACGGGGTGGGACTATATGTGAGTTCAAGTCCTTAGTATGATGACCAAAGCGCGCAGAGGTTGTGGACAAAGTCCTTGCGACTGGCATACCTGAATGTTGTCAACGCACAGTTGCGTGATAGCTTTGATCTTGGTGGGTGTGACCCCAGGCGGCTTGAGCGCCTGGAGGGATTGCAATTGTGTGCCTAGTTCGTCCATGGCTGCCATGACTATGTTCAATGTGCCAGATCAGAAAATTGAAATGAAAGGAAAAGATGGCCCTTCAATGCACCACGGGGGCCAAAGCGTGTGGTGAGAGAACCGAGATGGCAAACACGCAGCAGACTTTACTTGAAACCCACAAGACGCGAGCCAAAGCAAGAAGATCTAGGCAGTAGAGTACTGTACGAAGACTGTAGGCAAAAGGAGCGCTGAGCTGTCTCCTGACGCGGACGAGGCGAGCTGCTGGCCCAGTCAACCAAGGACGCGAGCGCGCAGTGGAAAATTGGCTGCGCAAGCGATGTCACCACGAAGCGCGATAGTCGCAGCAAGCCAGAGAGTCAATGGAAGCAGTGTAAATGGGCCGCGAGAGATGGTGATGGTCTACGTCAAGGGCGCAGTTGCAGAGGTGAGCAGAAGGTGAGACGAGTCGGCAAGTTTGCCAGACTCACACTAGCGGGGCACGTGACATGACCTCGGCCAAGCAAATGCACGTCTTCACGAGCCCTGCAGCGAGATGCAAACAGGATGCAAGCAGGATGCAAGCAGGATGCATGTCTGTCTCAGGCCTTGGGACGTTCTATATGGGTGGCCTTTTTGGTATTGCAGTAAGAATTCCTCGACTCCAGCCCTTTGCCCGGCCCAAGCATTGGAGGGCTCTGCCGACGCCATTTTCTTATTCCGGGCCTAGCACTCGATACTTTCTACCTACATATGTGCCGGTCCTTACACGTTGCTCGCAGCCACAATTGCCCATGCTGCTGTCGGCTGCCAAGGCAAGAAAACCAAGAGACTCTTATGTAAAACAGGCCGCCTGCGCAAGCCCGACAAAAGAATCGGTGCGCTAAGGTGCGTGTTCCTGACATGGAGTAATTGTTGAACACCGGAAAAGAGGGACCTCCGAACGATGCCCGCGCGGGTGGTATTCGTTTGGCCAGGGCGGCATGGGTGTGCAGCCATGACGAGACCGTGCTGAGCTCCACCAGTATTTTCTTGCGTCGTCCCGACGCAACCTTTTTAACTCACTCCCACCCATTCGACTTCTCATCATCCTTCACACTTCATCACAATGGCATCTGCTCTGCGTTTGTCAAGCGCTTTCCGCGCCGCCACTCCCCTGCGGACCACAGCCTTCAATGGCCTCCGCTTCTACTCCAGCAAGACCACGGTAGGCCCTCTACAGCCGTCCTGAAGCCAATGCATCCGCTTACCCATCCAATTGCAGTCGCTGAAGGAGACCTTCGCCAACAAGCTGCCTGGCGAGATCGAGAAGATCAAGAAGCTCCGCAAGTGCGTTTTTGCCAAAGCTGTATCCACGCCACTACCAGACTGACATCACAACCCAGGGAGCACGGCAACAAGGTCATCGGCGAGGTCACTCTTGACCAAGTCTACGGCGGTGCCCGTGGCATCAAGTCCCTCGTCTGGGAAGGTTCCGTCCTCGACTCCGAGGAGGGTATCCGTTTCCGTGGCAAGACTGTACGTGGTGACATTTTCATCCCGGCGCACACAAACCCAGCGCTAACACGCAACAGATCCCCGAGTGCCAGCAACTCCTCCCCAAGGCCCCTGGTGGCCAGGAGCCTCTCCCTGAAGGTCTCTTCTGGCTTCTTCTGACCGGCGAGGTCCCCTCTGAGCAGCAGGTCCGCGACCTCTCTGCTGAGTGGGCTGCCCGCTCCGATGTTCCCAAGTTCGTTGAGGAGCTCATCGACCGCTGCCCAAGCGACCTCCACCCCATGGCCCAGTTCTCCCTCGCCGTCACTGCTCTTGAGCACGAGTCCAACTTCGCAAAGGCCTACGCTAAGGGTATGCACAAGTCGCAATACTGGGAGCACACCTTCGAGGACTCCATGGACCTCATTGCCAAGCTTCCCACCATCGCCGCAAAGATCTACCGTAACATCTACAAGGACGGCAAGGTCGCTCCCATCCAGAAGGACAAGGACTACTCATTCAACCTGGCCCACCAGCTTGGTTTCTCCGAGAACAAGGACTTTGTTGAGCTGATGCGTCTGTACCTCACCATCCACACTGACCACGAGGGTGGTAACGTCAGCGCCCACACCACCCACTTGGTCGGATCTGCTCTCAGTTCCCCTTACCTTTCTTTGGCCGCTGGTCTGAACGGTCTCGCTGGTCCTCTTCACGGATTGGCTAACCAGGAGGTTCTCGTCTGGCTCCAGAAGATGAAGAAGGCTATTGGCAACGACCTCAGCGACCAGGCCATCAAGGACTACCTCTGGTCTACCCTCAAGGCTGGCCAGGTCGTTCCCGGTTACGGCCACGCTGTTCTCCGCAAGACTGACCCCCGTTACGTCTCCCAGCGCGAGTTCGCCCAGAAGCACTTACCCGACGACCCCATGTTCAAGCTCGTCAGCCAGGTTTACAAGATCGCCCCCGGCGTCCTCACCGAGCACGGCAAGACCAAGAACCCATACCCCAACGTCGACGCCCACTCTGGTGTCCTCCTCCAGTACTACGGCCTTACCGAGCAGAACTACTACACCGTCCTCTTCGGTGTCTCCCGTGCTCTCGGAGTCCTTCCCCAGCTCATTATTGACCGTGCTGTCGGCGCCCCTATTGAGAGGCCCAAGTCTTTCAGCACTGAGGCCTATGCTAAGCTGGTTGGAGCTCAGCTGTAAGCACGTTACTACTTCGTGTTTTGGCGTCTTGAAAATGTGGAGGAGTTTACTTGAGATTCAGAGATACCTAGTCACTTGTAAATTATGAAATGTAAAGATATTAAAGGAAGCGCCATGGCGCCATCGCACCTCACTCACTCATTTTCAAGTGAGCGACCTACTGTAATGCTACGCCTTGATGAAGATATATTTAGTCCCCGTAGCTTCCTGTTTCCTACGAGCATATTGGCTGTAAAGGGGATAGGCCGCGGAGGTACTCCAAAAGCAGCGAATGCATCAAACCCATCCAATGAGAGCAGAGCAAAAAGCAGCCTAAGAAGAAAACTAACCGGAACACCGGGGTACACCCGCGGCCCTGGAGTTTCTCGCTGAGCGATGGGGAACCGATACGGACTGTTGGGCTCAACCAGCCACCTACGGAATCCGATAGCCGACGGCGACATGTTGCGCCGTATACAGGTACAATGGTGACATTTTTTTGTAGAAAAGTGGAAAGGTGAATTTAAATTCAAGGGATCAACCTGGCGCAGTGTGTGCTCGACGCTGCAAAAGTAAATCCACCCCTCTCTCGGGAAGGCGGCGGGCGCGGAAAGGGTCAAAGACGGGTGGGATCGCTCGTGCGCCAAGAACCCGATAGCTTCAGGAACAACCCCAGCTATAGCGCCGGTCGGCGGTCAACAAGCAACACAGACCACCTTGCAAGTTCATATCGTCTTTTTTCATGCTGCACTTTCATCTCATTCTCTACACACTTGATATCACTCATACTTGCGACGGAGCACCCTTTTGCCTTGGTCAGGCCCCATATCTTCGACAACAAACCCCCAGAGAATGAGTTCCAAGCCTATAACCGGCACGCCTGGCGTTGCCAGCGCTGCGCCAAAACTCGAGAAGAAGCCGGTCAAGTTTAGCAATTTGTTGCGTGAGTTGTCCAGGGCGCATTGCTATCCGTAAACGTATGCTGATTGTAGCCCACAGTCGGTGCTGGTCTCAACATGTTTGAGTGAGTACACAGCCCACCTTGATGCCAGGCTTCGCGGAATCTATACTGACAGGACCTCAGAGTAACAACTCTGGGACAGGTATGCAGCCCTCGACTGTATCTCGAAACAGGATCACGCTGACAATTGAGGATAGCCGTTGGAGGTCGTCAAAACCACAATGGCTGCCAACAGGTCTGAAGGTTTCTCGGGTGCTATTGGCCGCATTTGGGCCCGTGGAGGTGTTCTTGGCTGTTAGTTTTCACACCACGATTGGACTCGCTCACTGTCTGACAAACATGATTTCTAGTCTACCAGGGTCTCATTCCGTGGGCCTGGATCGAAGCCTCCACCAAGGGAGCCGTCCTCCTGTTCGTTGCTTCGGAAGCCGAATACTACGCTAAGTCGTTTGGTGCGCCCGACTTTCTCGCCGGTATCTCCGGAGGAATGACGGGTGGTCTTGCGCAGGCCTATGCCACTATGGGCTTCTGTACTTGCATGAAGACAGTCGAGATTACAAAACACAAGGTCGCCGCCACTGGCGCAAAGCCCCCGGGTACTTTGGAAACCTTCATGCAGATCTGGCGCACTGAGGGTATCCGCGGTATTAACCGTGGTGTCAATGCCGTCGCCGTGCGCCAGGTAACTAACTGGGGTTCCCGCTTCGGTCTGTCCCGTGTCGCCGAGACCGGTATCCGAAAGGTCACCCACAAGGAACATGGCGAGAAGCTGAGCGTAATTGAGAAGATCACTGCCTCGGCTCTCGGTGGTGGGTTGAGCGCGTGGAATCAGCCCATTGAGGTTATCCGCGTGGAGCTCCAGTCCAAGACTGTTGACCCCAACCGGCCCAAGAACCTGAACGTTGCCTCGGCGTTCAAGTACATCTACTCGAACAATGGTATCAAGGGTCTTTACCGTGGTGTTACTCCCCGAATCGGACTTGGCGTTTGGCAGACGGTTTGCATGGTTGCTTTGGGTGATGTGTATGTTCTATTCCTTATCTTAATGGCGCATATTTACTAACAATATTGTAGCGCAAAGGAGGCTGTTGAGAAACTTACTGGCGACAAGGTTACCGCGAAGCATTAGATGGTGTTTAGGTAATTGATCTGGCGGGCGGTATGATTAGTCTAGAATTTATGCAAATGTCTCAAGGGTGATTTCGGACACTTGAACTTTTGATATCACACGGCAGGGTACCATTGACGGTCTATATTGCTATGAAACCATTAGCACAATAAGATCATGATGCCTAAGAGGGCAAGAATTTTGTCTCCTAGAGTGTCATTGCTTTTATTTTCCGCATCCATACATGGAGAGTGTTCTGGTAATCAATACACCCGTTAGTGTGGTTGACTATTCTGCACTAAGCTTGTGGGGTAGTAAGTTTGATGCACCGACAACGCGCGGGGTCCAATCAGGAAACGGTGCTCAGCGCTAGTTCACGTCACAGAAGCAAACGGCCAAACTGGTTCAACTCACCTCCGGCAACACACTTTAGGCTAGGCCTTCAGTTCAAGTAGGAGTGCAGCATACACCATGAAGAAACACGTCACTTGTATACCAACAGGGGAGCATCGTGGAAGCAGTCGGGTGAGTTTGAGCGTCTCTCGTCATCTTGCTGTAGCTGTCCGTCACCTATGAAAGGCCCTGAATCAATGAGACCAACGAATCGCAGCCAATTTTGAATGTATATCATGATATACTTCTAATGATTTCTTCAGTAAAGGCGATAGTGTGTTGACCAGAATGACCAATATGCTGACCTGGAATAGTTCGACCCTCACACACCGTCGCCATTGTTGTGTTCATGGCGTTGCGACTTGACCGCATTCTCGCAGCGGCACAACCTGTACTTTCTTGCGGCCACAGATACTTTGCACGTCTATCAACCAGGTTTCCCAGAACAAAGCTTGACTAAGGAACCCAGCCTTGTCCTTCATCCACCTAAGACTGGTCATCGAGGGCAAGGTATCGATCCTTGGGAGCCTCATTCCATCAACCGCGTTCTTGTTGAATACCTTGGTAACGAAGAGGTTCTTCTTGTCACCTGCGATGATGGCGATGTAATTGGCTATCGCACCGAAGCAATCTACCGAGCTTTGCAACGAGGAAGCGATCAAGGTGAGTCTGCTAGCGAGGATGACGTTCACATCTTCCTCCATCGAAACGTTGGCGCTAGCGCATGGGGCTTAGCTGTGCATCGAGAGGCTCGAATCATTGCCATTAGCGCGAACACACATCGAATCACTATCATTGCGTACGCGCTCGTAGATCACGCTGAAGAACCAGCGAACTCAGAGAACTCAGATAACGACACCCATGAGTCCTCAAGGTCTACCTCGCGGTCACCTTTCTGTAGAAAAAACGAGACCATCTTTCATCTTTCCGCCACAAACAACCTACCATCATTGTCGTTTTACGGCAGTTCTGGACGTTGGCTTCTGAGTAGCTGCATCAATGGCAAGACAATACTATGGGATCTTCATACGAGGAAAGAAGCAGCTAATTACCAAATGGGATGGTGCAGAAGTGCGGAGAATCTGAACTCCACTCCCCGCTATGAATCACGAGGATTTACGTGCAATTGCCCGGCTGCTTCAAACGTGCTGCACGGAGCTTGGGGCACAATAGCACTGGATACAACATCAGCATACTACTTACTACCCACAGAAGAAGAGGAATTGGAAATCAAGGATGAGCCAAAAAGCTTTCAGGATGCGACTGCTCAGAAGAAGAGGTTCACGGTTGCAGCTCTCAACCCATGCATCCCGTACACGGAGCCAAGCGAAAGCGAGGACGAACAGAGTGACCTAGGCGACGAGGATACAGATTCTATGGAAGGTCAGTCACAAGGGGTCCAACCACTCGATTACGTTCAAGGAAGTCTGGCACCGGCTCAAGTGGTAAGTGGCGATCGCCATAGTCTCCTCGAGATGGCAAATACCCGCATCGACCAGGCTTGTCCTTACAGATACAAGAGATGCTGACACTTCACAGCAGGCTATCCAGAACATGATACAGGGACACCAAAACCCGCAGGATTTCCCAAACTTAATATTCAACATGATCGCTCCTGGTAGAACACAACCTAGTCACGACACAGCCTTGAAACCTTACTGCGCAATAGATTATTCTGAAAGTACCAAGTATCTCGTACGCACTGCCCTCATATTTACTATTCAAGACCTAAATCTAAAACATCGCAGGCTGAAGGAGGAGATGTCGATATCCCTTTTCTGATTCTTACGAAAGAAGAGATCTTTCTCGTCCAGCGTGCCTTTGCAACAAACACGACGAGTATAATCAGTCAGGTTGTATCCATACAGCGCCCGCTGCATCCCGGCGAGTGGATACCATCGCTCGCATCGCAAGACCGGCACTGCTACTTCTCTCAGATCCCCGAGCTGGGCGTCTTCATTGTGGGGTCGCCTAGTGGTCGTGTGGCTATATTCTCACTCTACTGGACCAAGGACCAAGGCAGTGTGCACCGACGATATGGCTTCAAACTTGAATACCTGCTGCCTTTTAAACAGGAGAATGAGAATCAGATTCCCGGTGCGCCGATGGGACGGTTGATTGGTGTGGCGGTTTCTCCGGTCCAGGGCATGTTTGATGGACCGGGAGATGCAGATGGTACTGCCGATCAGGATCAAGGCGTGCATCAGCCGAGACGATGGCGCATTCTCATGTATTACATAGATCATACGGTGTTAAGCTTTGAGTTGTCGAAGCCGAGGGAGAGCGAGTCGCCTGATTTGGAGGAGTTGGTTGTATAGGGCTGTTTTCCCTTTCTCTTCGCGTGGAGTATTCAAGGTATCACGTGGGCAGGCTGGGAGTTTTGAATTCAGGGTTTCAATCAAGAGCTTTAGTCTCTTTTACACTAATATTCTGCAGTTATCAAATGTAGCGGTATCATCGACATGAGATGTCTACCAAGGACTACGAATGTGCTGCATAGTCCCCTCTAATATCCGGCATCCAAACTTTCACACTTGGATGTGAATTCTATCAGCGTTAGAAATGTACTGTTCGATCCCCCATCAGTAGACGTCAACAGGTCTCTTCGGTATGATGAACATTTGAACTTGCCCATACTCTACTCCTCAATCTTCTCCGATTTCCACAATGCCCAGGCAAAAATAGCCATGAACTTCAGTCCCGCCGCAGTCCACAGGGAGCCCGCGAGGCCTACACTGCTATGCGCAAACAGCCCACCCATGCATGCTCCAATGACCAAAGCAAGCGGCGCACCAATTCTCCTATTACGCTCCACATTCGACATCTTGAACAGCTCCGGATCAGAAAACAAGTCGCAGTAGTTACTTGTCAGCACCACACTAGTCAAACCATTATACTTGAGCGCGCGCGACGTAACCGCCTGGCCACTCGACTGAAACGCCACAGAAGCAAGTGGCAGCAAGACCTGCCAGTGCAGACCTTCTCCCGTGTTCTTGCCAAAGGTCGTAATAATCGCCGCAAAGACAATAAGCAGCATTTGGAACGAGTACGAGGCAATCAGTACCCAACGCTTTGCAGGGGAAAAGTAGCGATGAAAGCGCGCAAAGCAAAAGGAACCAACGCAGAATGCGGTGATTGATATACCGGCTTTGATCCAGCGGATGCCCTCGGATGGAGCGACAATGCCTAGGCCTAGGTAGACGGTGTTTCCTGTTCACTACATGAGTATTGTTGTGTCATGTCTCAAGAGACGACGGAAGGGATAAGTAGTAGAAAGTGTAAAGTCATATAACATGCTTGACCACATCTCAAGACATGATGGAAGGATTCGTAGTAGATAGTAGATAGAAATTGTTAAAAGAAAGTCATATGTATATAAAACTCACCGGTCTGCATGCTCACAAACGAGCCCCAGATGAACACAGCCGAGCTATCCAGCAGGCCTGTAATCATGTAACACAGGATCAAGACTACATCAGCCCAGTTTCTGTTGACGTTGGTCTGCATGTAGCACCTCATGCGGTGCAGAGTGGCATGTGCATCCGACTTTCCGCCGTCGGCACCATTTCGGCCGAGAAGAGGAGTTTCTTCGTCTGCAAGGCTGCGCCTGACGGTGCTGGGGGCGGGTGTGCTCATGATTTGAGCGCTTCTTGCGCGTGGGGATCCGAATATAGAGAGAGATAGAGAGGGGAAAGGAGAAGGGAAAGAGGTCGGTCAGTCAGACAGTCAGATCGGGGAGTGATCCTTGAAAAACAAGGCGCGGGAGAAACGGCACTGGTAGATAGCTTTATGCTGGCTTGGAAGAGCAAGATTGCCAGATTTTTCCTTGCTTGCACCTTGCTTCAACGGCGTAATCGGGAGGAACGGGAAGCCGGCTGGCGATTACGCAGATCGTTTTCAGGAACCTAGATTCAAGCTTCGGTCAAGGTTATCCAAGCTTCTGCTGGGCGGAGTAGTCGGCAATTGCAGGATAGTGCAGGAGGAGGAGGTGCAACGTGAGTAGCAACCTTCCTGTTACGAAGCGAGGGCGTGTTTTACATGTACAAGCAATAGCGATGTGCGTGCGGGGAAATTCTTGAAAGGCGGGTCGAGAGTTGTGGAAAAATCGTGGATTGGCGTGTGCGCATTGATGCATGGTGATGAGTGATGTTTAGCTCAAGGTATTCATGGCGTCATCGGAAGTACGGCACTGGGCAACGCGCAATGCTAGCCGCCGAACATGAAAAGGACGTGTTTTCCGTCTGAAAAGAGAAAAAAAAACTGTGTGCCATTCTCTTCAGCATTGGCTATCAATTCATTCTCTCCAAGCCATTATGCATCTTTCGTCGTTGCTGGTTGCGCTTAGCTGCTATGGCAGTGCTCTTGCAGCGCCGTTGGAGCAACAAGTACCATTGCCTGGCAATGCAGGACACCATGCTGGGCCTCACAAGATAACCAACCCGTACAGGCCGGGTGTGAGTGATCCTTATGACAGGAAAGTCGATTCTCAGGGCGACAAGCTTCAGCCGCTGCCATACGTGAGTGTATATCTGACATGTATCCATGAAGACCACTAACCACGATAATAGCGAAATGACGACGGAGCAAGCGTGCTAGGCCCTCGCAACCGCGCCCGTGAACGCCAGAACCCCGATCTCATCCGTCCTCCCAGCACTGACCATGGCGCGATCCCCAATATGCGCTGGTCCTTTGCTGACTCCCATATCCGCATCGAGGAAGGCGGTTGGACGCGAGAGACGACTGTCCGCGAGCTTGGTACCAGTAAGGAGCTCGCCGGTGTCAACATGCGTCTTGAAGAAGGCGTCATCCGCGAGCTCCACTGGCACAAGGAAGCCGAATGGGCCTACGTGCTCGAGGGCAAAGTCCGCATCACCGCTCTCGACACCGAAGGCGGCAGCTTCGTCGACGACCTCGAGAAAGGCGACCTATGGTATTTTCCATCTGGCCACCCTCACTCCCTCCAAGGTCTCAGCCCCAACGGCACTGAATTTCTCCTCGTCTTCGACGACGGCAACTTTTCTGAAGATTCCACGTTCTTGCTCACAGACTGGATGCGCCTAACCCCCAAGTCCGTTCTGGGTGAGAACTTCCGCGTCGCCCCCGAAGTCTTCAAAGCCATCCCAGACAAGGAAAAATACATCTTCAAGGGCTCCGAGCCCGGTCCCATCGACAAGGAGGTCCCAAGCGACAGCAAGGGCTACAAGAAATCCAAACTCCAATTCACCCACAAGATGCTTGCTCAGGAGCCCGTCAACACGACTGGCGGCCAAGTCCGCATCACGGATTCAACGAACTTCCCCATTTCCAAGACGGTGGCTGCAGCCCACCTGCGAATCCAACCTGGAGCGATTCGCGAAATGCACTGGCATCGTGAGTCATAATACTCCCCATTCCCTCCTTTTTTGCAAACAAAAAACAAAGACTAACACATCCCGCCACAGCCAACGCAGACGAATGGTCCTTCTTCATCGCCGGCCGCGCCCGCGTCACTATCTTCGCCGCCAAAGGCACCGCGCGCACCTTCGACTTCCAAGCCGGCGACGTCGGCGTCATCCCACGCAACATGGGCCACTTCATCGAGAACCTGTCGGACGAGGAGGACGTCGAGGTGCTCGAGATCTTCCGTGCCGACAAGTTCCAGGACTTTAGCTTGTTCCAGTGGCTTGGAGAGACGCCGCAGAGACTGGTTAAGGAGCATTTGTTTGAGAGTAGTCCGAAGGAGGCGGAGGAGTTTGAGAGGGCGATTAAGGATGCGGAGAGGGATTCGATTAAGGATGTTGATCTTGATGATGATGAGGACAAAGAGGAGTTGTGAGCATGTTGGTGGTGCTTGGATAGTTTGTACGCTACAAGGAAGTAAGGGTTTAGTAGGATATGGTTGACATGGTTGACCTTTTTGAGATTGATGTTTGAGCGCGGAACATACAACTTTACGTATTGTTATTTCATTTTTTGGGTGGGGGATTTCGTAATGTATATACAGTTTTCAGGGTTCAATTTACCTGAAAGATTGTTGTTTACGTTCGCACTACTATCAATAACATGTACAAAGCCCACAGCCAGATGCGCGATATTCACGTGGAGTTGGAGTGGAAAGTCATGCTCCAACAAAAAGTGTTCTGACTATACAATCACACTAACCTGCCTCAGTATAGCCATTCCTCGTTACCATTGCTCAGGTGAGCATCTAGTGTACATGGTCTACTTCGCGGAGGCTCCTAGTCTCCAGCCGTCAACATCTCACGTGGAAGCTATTCATAGGACCGAGATGCTGGGCGATCAAAATTATGCTTCTTGGCAACGGGGTAAAGAGGGTTCATTCGATACGATTGCTTATCACCTGCCCTTGTCATCCCTGGTACACCCGGTGGATATGGTATGGAGCTTACGTTAATCATTGGTAACGCGCACTTGAGCACACCACGAGGTGGGTGAGCTTGTTCTACTAGCTCTACAGTCCAGATACCGCATCTTTTCCGAACCACCGGAAGTATTCATGACAATTGTGGCTGCCTAGGCATTGGAGTTCGTGTGGCGGGGTAGCAACATAAGATGCAATCTATCATCCTCTTGGAAAAAAGTTTCCGCCCCCCCCCTGAACGTAATATGACACACTCAGATAAGCGAATAGGCATACATGGCGATGGAAACTGCACAGTGCAAAGTTAAATATTTTTCTGTGCAGGACCTCCGTACTATGGGAGTGTATTGTTAGTTTTTTGGGTAAGCGTTGTGCTGCGGCTCATCACGCTGTCAAAAAGCATGTTTCGAAACATGCACCCACATACACATTATGTATGTACGCGTGTGCGCCCATCTATAATACGCAAGCCTCCAACACTGGTTGTGTGTGATGAGTATCACAGCCTCGAGAGGGGCGCCGTTTTCGGAGTGGCCCATCTCGGCACAGGACTAGGGCCGTGCTGACACGGAACTATATTTTGCAAGGAAAACTCCGTTTCCACCGATATGCTCCCTTAACCAGTGGGCGGGTGCTTGTCGATAGCAATCTGCGCAGTAAATGGATAACGGAAAGCTTGCATGCTCCTACGGGATGAAGGGGCCAGGTGTTAGTGCGGTATTACCTTCGGCCAACTTGATGGGAAGCAACGTTTGATCTACAATTCTAGGAGGGGACAAGGGGGGTGCAAGGACCCGCTGTTTAAAAAGCCGGATGGTGCCCATGCTGATAATTGTTGAAAAAGGCACGTTTAACGCACATCAGGTCGACAAGGTCAGAGGCGAGTGGTACGAATACGCGCGGCTCAGACATGTGGAGCTGGTCCGATTATAGCGCATGGGGATCGATACGCGATTGGAACTAGGTTCGCTACCACGACTCCTTTTCGTTTGCGCTTGTGACAGGACAGATAAGTGGTGGAATTGTGCTGCTTGGCGGAGTACGAGGTGGCAATGTGTATGACGCTGTCAACAGGGGTGTAACCGTCGGCGGGCATGGCAGCGGCTGTGCCGTGTGTGACATGGAGTCGTGGTTATTTGAAGGGGGTGTATTGTTGTGTGTGGTACTGTGTAAGTATATGCAGAGAGAGAACAGCGCCGACTGCCACGATGCGATTCGGTGCGCGCGATCCAGACCGTGGGACGCCAACCCGAACAGTCGCTTCTTGCGGGGTGACGTTCCCGTCTCAGGGTCCAACAACGAGCGGGTCCATGGCATTGGGATGTTCGTGAAAACTAGGCTCCATCTGGCTCGTCCGGCCTTGGCAGTGAATTCAATCAATTTGAGTGGGCCGGCTCGCCTCCATGCCGGGGTCGTCCAGGTGCTTGGCAGAGACTGTGCCTCCTTGGACCTGCCTAGAGCGAGCTGGAGGCGTGTTGTGCAGGTGGGTGGCTGTCTGTGTCTGGCCGCCGCAAAATTGGTCTCCGCTTGTGCAAGATTGTAATTCGCCTCCACAGGCCTCAGCGTTCCCAGTGAATCGTCCTGCACTCCGCACGCGCGCCATAACGGGTCCGTCTTAAGCCTCCACGTCCTTAGGCCGGGCCATGCTACGACGCGTTGAGCGTCTCCTTTGTTGGCGTTTCAAGCCATTGGCACGTTCCCCTCTCTCGCGTGCAATACGCTTGCCGGTAAACTCGTGTACCGCAACTCAGCCCCCTTCAATGGAAACGCTCCAGAAGCTGCCAGGGCCATGACCCGTGCACACGGCGCGGACGGGATGTCTCCCTGAAGGCTTTGATTCTCTCCTTGGTTTTGTGGAAGGATAGTCGGTCTGCCGTACCCATATATATTCTGCTGTCCCACTGATTAGCATACTCGCCAATTCTTACCGTCCCCAACCAGCGCCAAAGAAAAAAATGTCGCGACACAGGATTATTGCCCCGGCGGAAATCGAGCGACAGGTTGCTCAAGGCGAACCGATTGTAATTCATGAGGGCTACGTCCTGAATCTAGGAGAATGGATTGACAAGCATCCGGGCGGCCGTCTCGCCATCCTGCACATGGTGGGCAGAGATGCGACCGATGAAATCAACATGTATGTAGTGCAGAAGACGTCTTAATATACCGCCACCCGTAGTTCCATCGGATACAATTATTTCCGATGGTCCGGTCACACCATGTGGCCGGATGGCTGCGGAAGGGTTGTGTAAGCATCTCGGCGTCGATCATAGGCTGACTTGACGCCAGCTACCACTCCAATAGGGCGCTGCTCATGATGACAAAACACCGCATTGGTCGCGTACAGTTGCCTTGGGCCAACCTTGAGCCTCCAATTCGCTCGCCCAACTACTACAAGAATCTGGAAGAGAAGAAGCGGGTGGGTGCGACTCTTGAGGCTGAGAGGCAACGACGCGGTAAAAGTGTCGACTTGGGATCCGTGGGTCTACTCCTATCCATAATCATATATCGAGCCGGACTGACATGCAATCAAGGCCGCCGCTATCATTAGCAAAAAATTGATTGGAAAATCAGACACCTGTGTATTCAGGCCAAGCAGCAGGCCTGCCAGCGACCCGGACAAGATTTTATTAATCGAAGAGGATGCCGAGATATTGACCATCACTGACCAGGAAGAGAAGAGGAGACATCGCGAGCAATATGCCACTGAGCAAGAAAAGCTAGAAATAGAAGAGGGTATCCGCGAGAACCCTTCGCTCGACGTCGAGACGCAAAAGGCTATTATCGAAGACTACCGCGCTTTGCATCAACAGATCAAGGACGAAGGCCTCTACCAATGTCGTTACTCCGAATATGCCAAAGAGTCGATACGATACGCTCTCCTTTTCGCCGCTTTTGCCGGCCTACTGTACATCAAGTGGTACCTTACATCAGCCATCTTCCTGGGTCTATTCTGGGTATGAACCTCAACTCTTTCACGATACCAGCAAACGCTAATTCATTTGCAGCAACAAATCATGTTCACAGCCCATGACGCTGGTCACCGCGGAATCACAGGAAACTTCGTTGCTGATACTCTTATCGGAGCTTTCATCGCAGACTTTTGCTGCGGCCTCAGTATCGGCTGGTGGAAATCCAGCCATAACGTGCACCATCTCATCACCAACATGCCGGAGCACGACCCGGATATCCAGAACATCCCTCTGTTCTCTACATCTCCTACCTACATGAAGTCCATCCTTTCCTCCTTCTACAACTTCCAGTTTGTATGGGATGCCGCATGCGATTTCTTGGTTCCCTACCAAAAGTACCTCTACTACCCGATTATGGGATTGGCACGATTCAACCTGTACTTCCTCGGCTGGCTACATCTGTGCTCGCCTCGCGCGGCTCAACTAGGTGCAGCCTGGTGGACGCGCCACGTCGAGCTTGTCTTCATGTGCTGTTACTGGTATCTCTTCGGCTACCTCCTTGTCTGGGTGACACTCCCCACATGGCCAATCCGCATTGGCTTTGTCCTGATTTCACACCTCGTCACTATGGTTCTCCACGTCCAAATCACCCTCTCCCACTGGGCAATGCCCACCTCCGATCTTGGCCCCACCGAGTCTTTTCCGCAACGCCAAATGCGTACTACTATGGATGTTGAATGCCCGGCATGGCTCGACTGGTTCCACGGTGGCCTGCAGTTCCAAGCCGTTCACCATCTCTTTCCCCGTGTTCCGCGTCACAACCTTCGCAGAGGCCAAGAGCTGGTCCGCGAATTCTCAGCAAAGACGGGTATCAAGTACCACTGCTACGGCTTTGTCGAGGGCAACAAAGTAGTCCTTAGCCGCTTAGAGCAGGTTTCACAAATGGTGAAAATCATGGTGGACTGCCAAAAGTACATGGCTGAGACTGGCGAGAGTGGTTTGCATTAAGTTACGCGCGGGCGCGAAAGAAAAGACGCTACCTATCTTCTTATTTGGAGTGTAGATTCTATGATATGGCGTTTTTTTTTAAAACTTTTACTCATTTTGTAATTATACAAAAAGTAAGCGTAGAGACATTGCAAAATGCTACGAAAATTTCATGTCGAATTAATCTTGAGACCCTTGGTTGACTATTACGATTTGTTCATCTTGATATTAATTTAAATCATAATGACCGGAACCCCGAAAACGAAACATAGGTGTATGGTAGGTAACGATACCATCTCCCGCTAAGCCTTATTAGGTATATGAATGGGATATCCTTGTACCCCATACACATGGACTATCATGCCCTGATTAGTCGAAACTTCGCCCCGAATTATTTTATGAACTTGAGGAACAAAGGCTTTTGAGCCAGTCTTATCTTTACATAGCTATCACACCTATCAGACCATTAGCCAACTTCTTGGGTGCTACCAGACGCTCTTATGTTCGCTTCTTTAGATGAGACACCATGAAGTGTCCAGTTCACTGCAATACAAACACTTTCACTAAAACCTCCTCTACATGGTTTACAGACTTTTGTTTCACTCAATCTGTTAGACTATTGGTATCAATGCATCATGATATTTCCAAGGTGGTATAGCGTAGACCTGCTCCAAGCCCAAAGTGTCGGGAATACGGACATGAAGTCGAACCTTCCTAGATATTATCACCCTACAGTGAAGACCCGGTTTCCTAGAATCATAATCCATGCCAAAGACAAAGGAACCTAAACCTATTGATTGTGGTAATATCTTATGCAGAACTAACCACGGGTGCGCTGCTGATTGATCAGAAAGCAGGTACAATGATGGTTTGTTGGTGGTACCTGCGTTAGCTTTTCAATTTCTCTCGGTATTTGCGAGCTAACACTCCGTTAGGGTTTCGCTGAGTATTCGGTGACATTCAATCGACCATGCATTGGAGGCTCAGCGACACAGATTTTTTCACCGATTTCTCCAATTACCTGATCTTGCCTCAGCTACCCCCAATTTTTCCTACGTTTCCTTTCGACTACACGGCCGGCTTTCGTTTCCCGTTGACACCACCTCCACCAATCCACCGCCTCATCCCACGCGCCAAGCATTAAGAAGACCCCAACAGCCTCCGCCATGGTACCACAGCGTCACACTCGGTAAACCATCCTATTCAGTGCGGCATCCCGCCAGCCATTAACCCCGTAGAGCAAGTTTTGTAGAATTTTACGGAACTTGAGTACCCCGATGTCCTTCGCCAAGGCAATTCGCCGCCTTGGCTCTGCGCCCAGGCATGCATCTGTATGCCACCCGACAGAGAGGATATAAAACTTTCGATCCATAGGTGCTGAAGTGTTTCTTCTCTCTTTACTACCTTGTACGACACAGCCGACTTCGAGTTGCTTAATACATCTTTCGTTAGACATACAAGCTCAACTCGACAAGTCAAACCCAGTCTTTACTACACAGTCAATATGAGGTTCTCAACCACTCTTCTTCTTGCTGCGGCCGCGGCAGTCGTCGCTCAAGACACTGTCTCTGCTCCCGCTAGTGACTGCGAACCCCACGGCGACCACTGGTAAGCAGATTCCTCTCATAACATGCAGTACCAAAAAAACTAACTCCGCAAAGGCACTGCGCCAACGGTGTCCCAGAACCCACTACTCCTCCCACCCCCGAGCAGCTCGCCAGCTTCTCTGCTGCGGAAGCTGCCGAGGACTCGACTCCAGCTTCTGCCATCGCTTCCAGAACTTCTTCCGGAACTCTCCTCGTCACTTCTTCTTCAACTCACTCCCACGACGACAATGACCACGACGACGACGATGATCACGTGGCAACAGCCAGCACATGCGAGCCCCACGGCGACCACTGGCACTGCCCCTCTGGTGTCGCAGAGCCAACCGCTCCCCCTGCTGCGGCCGTCTCTGGTACTACTACCACTTCTGGTGCCACTTCTGGTTCCCCCTCCGCCGCCTCGTCTGCCAGCCAAGCTCCTCAGCAAACCGGCAACGCTGCCACTCAAATCGGTGCTGGACAGGTTGTTGCTCTCATTGGTGCTGCGGCTTACTTCCTGTAAACGTGTGTGAATGTTTTCGCCTAGGCGGAGATTCAGTTGAGCCCTATATGCATAATTTGGAATGGTTTTTGCGATTGGAGCTTGCCAGTCGTTTTTGTACATAGATAACGATAATGCGTATTATGAATATATCTTGGACTGATATGTATTCGGTCTGTAGCGATGAAGACGTTACACTGCTGTTGGTTCCCACTGAGATGCAAATATGTGCCATGTTCTCTTGCGCAATCTTTCTTACGAATATACTTGGAATTGTTCACTTTAGCCAGAAGACTTAACTATTCAGAATATTCGTATCTCGTTCTGCAGAGAGTGCCACAGGAAAAAAAAGATTAATCACAATTTATCAGTAAAATTACAAAAGTATAATCGAACTCGATATATAAACTAAACGAACCCCGGATCAAGGTCAGTTCTTACATCCGATGCATGACGCAATCCAAACAGTACAAGGGTGTATGCAGCGACTAGGCTAGACAAGGGAACCAATGTCAGCAAGATTACATGGGGTATCTGTACCACCACAACATCGATATATCGATATTTCGTTGCAACCAAATGTTTCGTGTTTTATACCAGTAGTCGTGGTAGCTGGAAGGAGTCTCTAAATTTCATGCTAGTTGTAATGTCGCTATATTGTTTCGTTATGACCTAACAGCTGTGTAAGTAGCAGGACTAAAATTAATGTTTCGTCATTCCAATTGGTTTGTTTGTTACTAAGTCACATGTTTTGATGGTATTTCCGAAGATATCGGGTTGGGGGTGAGTGAGATCGCGAATGTAGATTGATAGGGGTTGGTGCAGATGATTTTGTAGAGTGCTACTGGTCTACGAGTAAAAGGTAAGATACGAGATAGTATGTACTCTCCAATTTATTGGCTGGTCTATGAGTGGCTTAGCGATTCTATGGTTTCTTACATGTTTTTTTTCTGGCACCAGGAGCCTGTACCTGACAATTAGGCCTTGGTGTCGTAACCACTATCTGGATACCCCTAGTCTCGACCCCATCTTGTGCACAAGAATCGTTCGTTGTAATTTCGTATGCGGGAAACTGTAGATTGCCAAGATCTGATCTCTCGCGATTGGATTCTCGTCGTATCGTGGATAGATAGATTCCTTGACCATCTATCGGGCCGTGTGCAACAATTTGAGTTGTTTCTATGTCAGCTTACTCGTATCACTGACAGCAGACATATGGAAACCCATATAGAGATATCAGGGGAATAACGGAGATTGTAGATCAAAAATTGTTAGTATTTCTAGTGGCGTCTAGGTGTGAGAGGCTATATAGATTTTGCGGGAGTAAGAGACTAGGTAGATGTGTCTGGATACTAGTGTTGTGTAAATGAGGTCATGGATTTACATAAAGTTTTCTGACCTACCCACATTACGTGAGACGGATGCATCCGTCCCTAGAATTAGAAAAAAAGCGGGAGTTTATCTTGGTTAGGGGTTATATAAGCCCCTACTCTTTCCGTACCTCCAACCACCATCCGCGTACACCAGTCATTCGTTCATCCTTCGTCTATCTCTCAGATACCGGAGCTTTGAGACTTGTTACTACCCTCTTAACCATTATCATAACCACAGCTACCTTTTGACTCGCCACCCCAGCTCCAAGCCCGGCACACATACCTTAAGGCTATTCAAACGGCAAGACATACGTGTAGAAGGAGACAGATAAAGCCTTCTCCTGGTATCCACAAAACTGCCAACTACAAGGATAAGAGAATATATCCTACAGTCAAGAAACCATAAAAACCGCCAAGTATATACAAGCTTTTATGCCAAACAGATACCCCAATCTGAGTCATAACAGTCTATTGAGTGGCAAGGCTTGTCCAACAAAGGCTATTTCGTTCTACCCCTTAACACGCACGAGAAACTCGTCAGCCGGGGAGACCTAGCTAAGTAAAATCAAACAGCCGACTTCTCCCAAAATCAAACAGAAGTGTAAAGTCATCTGTTCTCCCTCTTCCTCCACCATCATCTATTCACAGTCTGTTACTTTTCAGGTGTCTGGATCGACTTCCTTTCCCAATATATGTAATAGATCGAAGTTGTCGAATGAAGCAAGGAATGGGAGACATGGGGAGTAAAATATATATAAATGTAGTAAGACCCATAGAATGATGACAGAAGTACACATTTAGCATTATCCTCGGTAGAAAGCTTGTACAGTGTTACATCTCCACAGATAGACATAGTCCAAGTCTTATCATTAACCATGCATGCAAACACCCTCTCGCTTGACTTGTGGTGTAAAGATGGTGAACTCAGTGGATAATGTAAACATGAACCTTGTGTACAGTAAGCGGTGTCATTGCTTACTCCAGAATGGTCAGCGTGGTAGTAAGTCAGTGAAAGCAGCGCCTGTTACAAAGGTTCCCGAGACAAATTCCCTGTCGAACCAGCAACATCCCTCTGGTAGACTAAGCAAATAAGCTAGGCCCTTTAATCTAGAACAAACTTAATTGCACTTAAAGGCACTCATTTGTTTTACCACTGCAGACATCATCGACCAAGCACAAGTCACAAGTAGAGTAGAAAACGGAGCATGTTGCATACATAAAACCAAAACAATCGTCACATTCATAATCGTATCTACATGCAACCCGTCCAAGCAGGTCGACACTCGCTTTAAAACAATGCACAAACCAAGGTGGGGGGATATATGCTAGCCTTTCCTTTACAACCCAAAACGCAGAAATGCAGTAACGCCCTTTTCCATCTGCAATGACGCATCTAATGCATATGCAACGAATGACTTTGTTGTACAACCAAAAAGATATTAAGCAAAACAAGAATAGGAAATGGGTGCAGAATGGCAGGCTTAGAAGCCATTGAAGCCCATCATGATACCTGCACCGGCGATGGCAGCACCGCTGATCCATGGGTTTGCGGTTGCAGCTGGTGGGGCAGCACCACTAGGAGACTGGAAAACTGTACCGGTGATGCTGGGGCCATCAACCCTAGGTCCACCAGTGCCAATTGCAGCCGTGGATACCGCATTAGGAACATCCTCAGCGTTGGGAACGCCATCAACGCCCTTTTTAATTTCCTGCACGTTTGATGCGGTCGCATTGAATTTTGTTTGTGCGATGGAGATTTCGTTGTTCTCGAGATCGTAGACAACGTATGCGGACCGTAGGAAAGTGTCTCCAAGGACCGCTAGGGAATCGCCAGATGGGCCAACTCCAAAAATACAGATGGGCCGCCCACGGCTGACGGCGGCAAGGACAACGAGTTCGTTGAGCGGAACGGAGATCTTGACGCCGGAGAAATTAAAGTCAACCGAGCCTTGCCTGTTTGCCAGATCGCAATTGACAAAGGCAGCACCTTGCGAGGAGTCGTACTGGGCGTTGTAGGTTTGGTACAGCGCATTGGCAACCTGATCAGGTAGGTACATCAAGGACGAGCCAGAGTCGAGAAGGACAGGCACATTTTCGTCCTTAAAAAGAGAACCATCATTGCCGTTCTCCCCCATTCCGGTCAAAGCAATGACAAACTCGGCAAACTGGCCCCGTTCGGGAATGATGGGCAGCGTCTGTAGTTGGCCATCGAATTTTTCGCTATCCACACCACCAAACAGAATGCTTCCAGTTGAGGCGTCCAAGTCGTTCAGCCACAGCGAATAAGCCATGGTATTGATTTCGCCGTCATCTCGGAGCTTTGCAGGCAAGTTGGGGTAAGGGTCCAGGCCAGCGCGGCCCACGGCAACCTCGTTGATAGGATATCCGATACCAAGAATGCCTTCTGTCGAGCTCGATACATAGCCAATACCAAATTGCAGGTCCTTCAATGTCTTGCCTCCGAAACGAAATGTGTCTGTAGCATAATCTCCCGATGCGCCCGATCCGTCTACGTAGGAAATGTTAAAGACACCATTGACATATTTATATGTAGACGATTCGTTTGCGTTGTACGTGCCCGACTCTCCGCACTGGTTCCCGCCTTGCATACAGAGATTTGAGTTGACCGCGTTGACCCAAAGATCGCTGCTACCGGTATCGATATGTAGTCGGAAGTTCTGCGGTGGGGTGCCTAAACTTGCATTTGCGAAGTAGAGCGTTTCGAGGTTGTCGAGCGTCTCTTGGACAGTATTTTGCCGTCTTCGTAACCGGTCGTGCGCAATTGGATTGACGACATTGCGGCGCTGGGTATCGAGTAGGATTACTTTGGGATTCTGTCATGGGCGTGTGAGCGAACATGTTTGCGTCAGTGCGGGAGGATTCGCTTCGCAAGGCTGAAAGCTGGGGTAGATAAGAGCGGCACCTACCTCTCGCGGGACGAACTCTAATGCCGCCGTAGCTGACGCTAAAGTTACCGAGAGTAACAACGAAGACTTCATGATGATGTTTTCTGAAAGTTTAATGCCCGAGGACTCTGCCAATGTATACCACGGAAGGGGAGGACCCCTGGTGTGGCTGAGTGAGATTTGATGCGCAAAGAGTGGGCGGCGGCTTTCGAGGGCGTTTCGGGCTGCTGAGGCGCAGAATGCAATTCAAAGGCAGTAGCAGGAGTGAAGCCGGGGAAACAGGGGGTGGCCGGGCAGTTAACAAAGTGAATAGCAAGCAGAAACACAGGCAAGGTGAAGCAGAAGCGCGCGGGCTGTCGAGGTTTTGACGCCGCAGGGGGGCGTTAGAGCCCGGGTGATGACGACGCGTGTATGATGAGGTCAAGTCTAGATGTGTTACGGATTCAGCAACCTTACGTAGTGCTGCTGCCCACGTAACCGCCGAGCGGCCAGGCCTTTTCCAGATAAGAGCAGCCGACGGATGAATTATTCTCAGAGAAGCGCGGTATGGCGGTGCCCTGGCTACATACGTACACCCATCACCGTCAGTCATCAGCCATGGTGGTCCCAGTCAATTTGTGCCGATCCATCGAGAGCCGCCTCGCAACCCTGTGCCTGCATGCTGCTGACGGAGATGAGGTAGTAGCCGAACGGGAGATGATGGCGCACAAAAGCTTGAGGCATTCGGGCTGGGATTAGGATATAATGCTGACTGCATGGCGGTGGTGTGTGGGTGCAGGGTGTGTGCCACCTCCACAAGCCTCATACGTCAATAGGCATTTGCAGATGTGCCTTTGGCGCCGTCCCTGAACCATCCTCCGAAGCCTACCGAATGCTTATCTCCGGTCTTCCAAAATGCGCCCCCGGAATCAGGTACATCCGCACCCGTCTGCTCTCGCTCACCTTGCCCAAAGATAGTAAATCCCGCACCGTCGTCGTTCCCAAGACGTTTGAGCTTGAAACAACATTCACGAGCAAATCTAAGTAATTCATCGGCATGCGTGGGCGGCAACCATGGGGGTGGCGCCGAAGCGCCACAGACGGAATCAGTGAACCTATCCTTTTGTCCACATGATTGCGCGTTATTCTCCACCGTGGCTGAGCGGTTAATGACTGACGACGACGACTATCCCAGCTTTGTGTTGAAGCATCCGGCGTCTGCCGCAACGTCGAGCGAGGTGTAGGTCGAGATGCTTTTCGGTCCGGTTATGCACGTGACGACTAGTCCCAAAACGGTAGGCCCGTGAAAGCGCGTCTGCAGACCGTCGCGTCTCCCGCGTCACCCCTCCACGTCCGACATCCACGGCCCAAAATGTCCAAAGCCGAGTCGTCAAAGGCCGCTGCCAGCAACACTGTCAAGCCCAACCCCAATGCCGCTGGGGGAGCAAACTACGAGCTGCCATGGTAATTGACCATCCCAATTGCTTGTCCTGGCCATACACACTGACGCTTTGTTCAGGGTAGAAAAGTACCGTCCCGTCTACCTCGACGATGTTGTCGGCAACACCGAGACCATTGAGCGCCTCAAGATCATTGCCAAAGACGGCAACATGCCACACATGATCATATCCGGCATGCCAGGTATCGGAAAAACAACGTCCATCCTCTGTCTCGCCCGCCAACTCCTCGGCGACGCCTACAAGGAAGCCGTCCTGGAGCTCAACGCCTCAGATGAGCGCGGCATCGACGTCGTCCGCAACCGCATCAAGGGTTTCGCCCAGAAAAAAGTCACACTCCCCCCGGGTAGACAAAAGCTCGTCATCCTCGACGAGGCGGACAGCATGACAAGCGGCGCACAGCAAGCCCTCCGACGCACCATGGAAATCTACAGTGCAACCACCCGCTTCGCCTTCGCCTGCAACCAATCCAACAAGATCATTGAGCCCCTCCAATCCCGCTGCGCCATCCTCCGCTACGCCCGCCTCACCGATGCCCAGGTCGTCCGCCGCATCATGCAGATCTGCGAGGCTGAAGACGTCAAATACTCGGACGACGGTATTGCCGCACTCGTCTTTTCCGCAGAGGGAGATATGCGTCAGGCAATCAATAATCTGCAATCGACTTTTGCTGGCTTTGGCTTCGTCAACGGCGACAATGTCTTCAAGGTCGTGGATAGCCCGCATCCCATCAAGGTGCAATCGATGATCAAGGCGTGCCACGAGCAGCGTGTTGATGATGCGTTGGCGGCGCTGAAGGAACTTTGGGATTTGGGGTATTCATGCCATGATATTATTAGTACCATGTTTAAGGTTACCAAGACGATTGATACGTTGAGTGAGCATGCGAAGCTGGAGTTTATCAAGGTGCGTAATTTTCCGACTGTGATTCATGTTCGGAAGGAGGGATATGCTAACGGTAAATAGGAAATCGGCTTCACACACATGCGCATCCTCGAGGGTGTACAAACGCTCTTGCAACTTTCTGGCTGCGTTGCCCGTCTGTGTAAGATTAATATGCAGCCTCAATTATTTGCCCTGCCTACAAAATGAAAACGAAATGATAAAATTTTGTAGCAATGTTTATTCGACATTTAGCATGGCGTTTGGCGTGGACATGACGAGCTATATGATAGGGTAGCATTCAACGGAATATCAACAGTCTATGATCTTCATATAGTGTCTTCAAGTGTGAGCATCACGTTTAACAAGCCAATGAATTCACTGCAACATTGCATTTTCATTCCACATTGCTATCGTTAGATATATTTCCCTTAAAAAGAAACGCTTCTCATCCCTCCAGACCCTGCCTAACTAAACATACGTGCATAGTATGCTCAACTAGGACCTTGGCGCAGGTGTAGGAAACGGTTGAGGAAAGGGAAACGACTGCGACGACGTCAACGGAACAAAAGAATTCGTGTGCGTTGCGTTTGCAGGACCCGAAGACGTAAGATTGGCTGTAACTGGTTTCTGGCCCGTAGCAATATCGAAGTGGTTAATGGTACGGTTGAAATATGCTAGAGCTGCGACGGCTATAAGGAAACAGCAAGGTTAGCATCTTTCTCTCAAGTCTCTGTACGATGGATTATAAAAGGGGGAAGGAGAACTTACGTTGGTAATAAGGAATCTCGTGCCCGGACTCGTAAATACGGGCGAAGCTAAAATTGCCGTATTGACGGACCTCACCATACTCTGTACCATCGACAGTCATGGGCTCGTATCCCGCAGCGCGGAACTGCTGGCTATGCGTGTATTCCAGTGCCAGACTAATTGCTTGGCCGCCGAACCAGTTGCCTACAAAAAAAATCATACGTCAGCATATCCATCCTCACTCCCAAGTGAAGGGAAGAAAAAGTGAAGATGAAGAGATAGAAAACTTACAGATGTAGTCAGCATCCCCGTACGCCAAACTAACCCGCACATCGTGATTAAGCAAATACTCCAAATCGAGCCTATAGTTCGGAAACACCCAATCCCCACTATTCTGGAAAGCATAGAAAATGCCAGTATTCGACTGGGTATAATTCACCGTCACGCCGAGTGCCTCCTGCACCGTTGCATCGTTCAGGTAAGATATAAAGTTATCGGGCGGTGTAGGATCATTGGTCGGGTGACGGATATCGTACGTGCCGCGGCCGCTATAGTAGTAGTATGGCCCTTCAACATTATCGCGACACATGTTTGCTGCTTCGCTACAAACTGCCTTGACACTGGGCAGCAAATCTGCGGTTGTGATGCGCGCGGCGGGGTCGAAGTAAGTCCCGTTTCCCCCGGCTGCGATACGGCAGAGACCAATCTGGTAGCGGCAGCCGCCAAACATGTTGTTTGCGAACTTGGCGTACGAGTAGACGGTGTCGTTGTAGGCTTTGATGCCATAGGTGTTGTTGACGGCAAATTCCGGGTACCAGTCTTCTTGGACCTCTGCGTCGATGATGGCGTTGATGAGGCTCAGGCTGTTAAAGTTGACCTCATAGCCTGGCATGCTTCCGTTTTGGATCTTTTGGTTTTGATCGTAAAAGTAGCGGTAGAAGGTGGGGCCGTAGTGGCCACCGTAGGATTCGGTGGCGAGATTGAATTCTCGTGATGCGTTCACAGGACCGATTTTGGCGTCGAACTTTGGAATGGTGGCGAAGAGTGCTTGCAAAACGTGCTGTACGCAGTGTGTGGTTAGCTGGATAGTGCGGTGAGAAAAGGACGTGTTCAAAAAGACCTACCCATACTCCTACTGCTGCAAGATCAGTAGTATCAATCGTGCCCCGGTTCAATGGATCCAAAATTGGCCAGACCCCAGAAGAATCAGAGTCAGTAACGTTGGGAATGAAATCTCCTGGATACGCGCTGAAAGCGCCTACGCCCTCTGCCTGGTAGCTGAAGCCTGTTCCGACTGGCTGCGAAATGTACAGCATGTTAGAGATATTATTCCAGCTGTATGGGTTATACACAGCTGTGATGTTGTCATCAATCATGCAAGGTCCGTTTTCCTGGAAAAGCCCAATAAGTGAATCGGATCCAGGACCGCCATTCAACCACAGAGTGACCGGGTCGGAAGCAGGATCTCTACGGGATTCAAAGAACCAGAAGAAAATGTGGACCTGCGTAGTTGTTAGTGGGAAAGAAGGTATGGAGGCCAACACCAAAGTAGTTGGTAACATACATTAGGTGCGAGGTCCACATATCCAGCATAACTCTCTACGCCAGGTGTTGTTTCGCAGATACCAGGGTTCTTATATCGGATCGTGACATTGTTGGGCGCAGTAGCAGTCTTGTAACCCTGGTCATCCCTGGGCAACAAGACGTGCTCACTACGCTTTTCCCAAGCACCATTCGACACGGCAGCAGCGTGTGATGCGAGCGACGAGAGTGCCAATAGCGACGTGGCTATCGGCTTTGTAAACATTGTGTCTGAAGAACTGGACAGCAACAATAGGGAAATTAGGACGCACCGTGGTGTATTTAAGCTCCTTTGGAAGCAAGGCTTGTCAGGCTTGTCCTACCCTTGGCGCATCCTCCCGTCTTCCTGCATGTGCATGAACCTATGAACTACTTTGACCTTGATCCGAGAGTTCCCATAGGAGGTCCGGTCCTACGATAAAGGGAGGTGGTTCGTCCCTACCTCAATAGGTCTAGCCAGCGATGCAATACCCTAGCAATAAGCTTACATTCACGCATGTCAACACGGACAAACATATCTCTTTCATTGCGAGTGACAAAGTTTGTTGCCGGCTGATAAGAGTGAACTGCATTAGGTAGAGAGATAGAGAAGCTGGTTGGGCAATGGCGGCAGCGCTAGGACTCGTATGACGGAGTATGCAGACCCGAATGAGCGTTATGCTTTCGGTCTTTATGCGGCAAAATTTTGTTGTACATGTGTATAAATACATAAGCAGGGATTATCCGGATATCCCGTCAGTAAGAACAAAGTTAAACGGCCTGGAAGGTCATGAGATGTAATAAGATATAGCCGGTGCACATCCGCGTTATTTATCTGAATCTCTGCCGTTGAGGCGGTGACAAGGTAGTGCGATTGTGGGCAAGCTTGTGTGGGGGAAAGGAATTACAAGATAGAAAAACATGCGGCGAAACATTTCACGGGTAGAGGTACTGCTCGGGCCAGCCGGTATGAGCTCTGTAAGCTACATAACATCAGATAGCTTAGTTTGTTTACCACACTTTGAGTTGAATTGATAGCTGTCCAAGGAAGGCCAGATTGGATTGAATTGGATTGATAATCCAGATTGACTCGAATTACAATCCGCATTAATTTTTGAAAAATCCACAAAAGAGAACACAAAACAAAAAAAGCAGAGTCATTAGTCTCTATCCATGCAGCAGGGCCAAGCTATGCTTGATAGTCCCTATTGATAACATCACGTGAGCCTTTTCCGACATCAGACCAAGTCCGCAAACATTCGTTCTATGCAAATATTGTGGTGGAGCAACCAGGAAATATGCTAATAGAAGGCCCGAAAGGTTTTCAGACGTGAATTTAATGTAAGGTATATTAGGGGAGGAAAATCAACAACCATAGAACTAGCAGCCAACTAACAAATCTAAATACCCTTCAGACTTGGAAAAATACACTCATTTTCATGCATCGAGCACGCGCGCAGATGGAGGTAAAAAAATGCCCCAAGGCAATATAGTTCGCGTTATGCTTTTAGCTAAACAGTGCGTAGTAATCTTAGTAATGTGAGCTTATATTTACACTATTAAGCTAGCTATGCGTAATCTTATTCAGGCGTTCTGCTTTCGCTTGCTATAATTAATTCACGTTAAGGTATTAAATATTGTAACTGTTCCTATAATTCGACGTGCGATATAGCTCGCAGCAGTATTTGGTAATCACGGTAGAGAACCTCCCCTACAGCCTATATAAAATCAGGCACTGAGTAGGTTAACGTAGGTTGTTAATTGCTTAGGTTTAGTTAGTTTAGGGAAAGACGATAACGTGGATACCTGTTAAATGTATCTAGTGAAAATCTTAGAAGTTATTGCAGACTAGTGGCGTATGTAGATCTTGTGTGTAATTCAATTGGCAGGCGAATAAGCTCTTCCTACTGTCACAGCCTATATAGACACGTATGTTCAACATATAATCAAAGAAGATAATTACGTCTACTAGTAACAACTAACATAGATATCATCCTTTGCTAGACTAACAAGCAAGTACGATCATTTATCGACGGGGTCAACAGAATCTTTAGCAAGTAGACTTTCGTCCTTTCTATCATTGGCTAGATAGATCCTGCGCGGGTAACTTCTCCGAGAGTATCTTATGTTTTCACGCTAGCTTCTCTACACCTACGTTGCTGCAATTTTAGTTTGATAGGAAAGCAGAGACACTGTCTGCGCGACTCGAAAGGACAGATGCCTATATCAGTACACAAAGGAAGAAAGCTGCTAGCCCACTAGCACCAGGAGCCTTATTTATTGTACAAGGTGGTGTCGCCACCAGCGGGGCCTGTGCTGTGTGCTCACGGAGCAAATCTTAGGATAAGGGTGGCTTCTTGGAATACAGGCGGGACTGAAACAGAGGCCCTTTTAATAGGGGACATGTCTTGACTCTATCGCAATCCTGAGGGCCTGATATCGAGGCCGACCAGGCAACTGTCCATTTCGCTATGACCACAGGCCGCCTGGAGAGTCTCTCGTACCAACAACTATCTAGCTAAGCAACACTAAGCCAAGCAATACCAAGGGCATAAAGCCTACACACTAACACTACTCTTACGACAACACCCTACGAATCCTCGTACTGAAAGCAAGACATGCTTCACCCGCTAAAGATAGAACAGTGAACACTTGGAGGAAGGACTTGAAGAGGGCTTGCAGCCTCTGAACTACCTACGAGAATTTGCTGAGACTAACGTATAGGAATAGATTGAGCGAGCATGAAATGAGTGGGCTATCGGGAGTTTCAGATTCCATTGTAGGTACTAGAATTATATAACCTAGCAGGAAGTTCCCTTGGTGTTAATGCTGGGCGTGAGGAAACTTATCTAGTCATTGACTCACGGTTCTGGTTGTCCTTTCGATTGCGCCGCCTCTGTTTAGACTGTAACATTAGACTGGCATGTTGTAAACCAACTTCAGGGTGACGCGCTCCAGCTTGCTTGAAGGCCGCCTATAAAGCCGGTTAGATCTTGAATCCTAGCAAATGCTGGGCTGCTCACGTTTAGCATTGAGAAGTGCAAGCAGACTCCCTCCATGACCATCCAGCTCCTCTACAACTGGACCGACTAGTATCTGCACATCCACTATTCGCTGGTAAATTACAGCACCCTGCATTAACCGTTGCAGCCGTCATGGCAGTTAAGAGTATAAAACCAAGCCACTGTCGAAGCATCTTAGGAATTATTATTGAGGTAAACGAATTCTGTTGGTATGGTTTTCGTTGGTAGATATTGGGTGAGGGTACTGAGGTGTTTCTAGACGGGCTAGAGCTTGAAATACATAGATAGGTCACCTCTTTCTCACTAGGCTCGGAACCTCGTGGACATTGTAGGGCCGACTAATTAGATGCAAATTAACTAAGTAAGCGCGGATACCCTTCTTAGTTTAGTATAGCCACGTCATTCAGCTTATAGATACCTAGTAGGCGGAAAACTACAGAAACCCGCTACTATTACGGATTGTGCAAATGTCTATTATAAATGTTAAAAAGAATTGCCCTCTAAGCTACGAGAGCTTAGAGCAGGTCTATAAGCCTCAACTAAGCTCTGCTCTAGCGGCGACTAAGATGCCCATCGTGAATCAAGTCTACCTTGAAGCCCCGAGCTTGGAAGGGGGATTGGCATGAGTTTGCCCTCTTGAGTGTGACATGTTGCAGACACCAATAAGCGGGTAACTGTAAGAATTTAGCTCTCGTATCTCTGGGATACCCTAAAGCCTAATTTCTAGGAAACACTGTTCTGTCTATCGTTAACTGCAAGACGACTAGCATACCTATACAACCAAATGAGAAATAAGCCTCTTAGGCCCCGGTAAGCGCAAGTTCCACATTCCTATGAAGCAGTCCAAAGGTGAGCTCCCGCTGTTCTAGGGGATAGAGAGGAACGCCTAGGGCCTGCGTGTTTCTGATGAAGCAGCGACGGAGAACTGGCTGAGCGAGAGCTTACGGCAGCTCGGTGCTATCACGGTATATTACGTAAGACACATACCTAGGCGGCTTAGACTTAGGCCTCAGACCGCAATTATTTGGGCAGCGAGCGGAATCAGTTCCTGTGCTACATGGCACAGGTTTTGTAATATGGGGACACTAAAACGATGATCAGGCTCTTCTTCGGATCGCTTGTTACAGAAAAATATTACGCTGTTCTTAACAATTACGACTCTATATAGTATAGCTCTTACTATCTACCCCGGCCTGTATCGTCCCCTTGCTCACGAACCCACATACATCAATTCTGCCAGATACCACAGTACTCAATTGACCCACACCTACCTCAACCTCTTATTAACTAGCAGTTGTCATTTGAAGGGCAGGATTAGGGCTAGGTTAGCAAATAGGTAGAGGTGCGAGTTGGTGGGTGCAAGTTAGGGTGCAAGCTTGGCGGATTAGTATGTAGTTAGGTGGGTGGCCACTAGCAAATCCCCGCTGTTGTATGTTTTTGTTTCTGTCGACTTTTTTTGCGTAAGTTTACGTGGCAAGGTCTTAGCATCTTATAGAAGAATCTCTTCATGAAGGTGCATGTTCCACGTACAAGTAGTCCAGACCAACAAACATGCCAATGGAGCATAAACTCCCTCAGCTCTCAAGCCGTTATTCTCATAAACCACTTGATTCGTATAGACTTGACCTAGCTAACTCACATATCCCCCAACCCACTACTCTCCAACCAAACCACCCCCCTCATACTCCCCATGCCCATATCCCCCACACCCACGGTACTACTCCGCACATCCTGCGCCACGACCACTGCATCCGCAAAGCTCAGATTATCCGTCTCACAGTTCAGAATCTCCACATCACCAGTGTCACTCTTACCCTTTTCAGGCCTTGCCTTGATCCTTGGCCGAATCTCTACATTGGGTAAGAGCGTGTTTCCCGGTCTGAGTGGTATGAGTACAATCGGCCACTCGTGCTCTTGGTCTTCGGTGGCGGTGAAATGGGCACGGCGCTGGCCGGCAACGAGCCATACCTCTGGGTTTGCGTCGATTGTGTAGACAAATTCGATGGGATCGGTGGGATCGTTTAGGTTGGCGGCGGAGACGAGGCTGGAGGGTGAGGCCCAGCGGCGGGTGTGTGAAATGCGGAGAGTGGCCATGAGGGGTTGGCCGACGGTTGCGATGGGAGATTGGAAGGTCGTAGAGGGTGAGTTTAGGGTGAGAGAGGCGGTGTGTAAGATGTGTGTTTGCGGTATAGATACTGTTATTACCATGCGCCGCGGTGGGTTTGGCGACGGTGGAGCTGTAGGGCGTTGTGTGGTGTGTGGTGATGCATCTGTCTCTAGATGGACGACTCTGTGTTTCTGTAGCCATAGATTAGTATTTGCAGAGCAGTAAATTCTCTTAGAGGTACTTACTCCATGCCACTTTTGCAGCCACGTCTGTGTATCATCACGGATGACAAGAGGTAAGCTCTCAAGACAGTCAGCCCATCCCATATCCTCGAAAACTCCAAGGTCAATCCTTTCCAACAACGCTGTCTTTTCATATTGCTGAGGCAGAATGCTCTGCTCAATGCGATTGACAAAAGTATCAGTCAAGAGACGAGACAAGCGATGAACTGGACTGTTCTCGACGGCCTCCGCAAACAACTTTCGCATACGATCCAGCACATCCTCGTTAAGACAACGGTACTCGACAGATAACGATAGACTACCAGTAGTGCTTATCCGGCTTCTTCGTTTCTGTGCGGCGTCCACGGTATTCTTGACGACTTTGTACGTGACCGCCACTGGCTGTTTCGGGAACACATGTAGTGGTTCCTTTGGTTGTCTCGGTGCATGAACATCAAACTCATCCGATCCTTCCAAGGAAACAGCCAGAAGTTCCAGTGGAATATGATTTGCAGTCTTGATGTTGAATTTCGAGAACAGTGACTTGTTCTTGAAATGGTCATGTACATTGACGTCCAACGGCAGCTCAACAGGGATCACAAAGGACGAAGTGTACTGGAACTGGCCGTTTTCGGTGAAATAGTCGGCGTCGATCTTGACAGTAAGATCCTGGAGAATCGTTTCCATATCGTAAGGTACTTTCAAGGTGGCTGCGGAGCCGGCTGCCATTTCTCCGATTGCAATGACACCAGGAGGTTGCTTGTTGTCCTCAAGTTCAATATCACCAGCTTCTATGCTTGCATCTGCCGTACGTAGCCGCAGTCCTGCAGAAGCAGACTTCAGTCGGATCTCTGCACGCTTTATTGCGTTCCAACCGCTCGAGAACTCGACTTCGATATGACGCGGCTTGTCGATGTGGATCAAATGCGAAAGATAGATGCGAGCTTGGAAAGCCTCAGTGCGCGGAAAACATAGAATCCTAGCTTTCTTGGCTGCTCTGAGCGAGTGTGCAGATACAGATGTGATGATGCCAAGAGGTGTCGTTGCTTCGGTCTTCTGGAAAGGCTCGTGCACAAAGACGATGCGCTTTGCTTCCAAGACGATCCTATCCACCATGTATGGCCCGATGGTATTCACCTGGAACATATTAGCCTTCCCCATGAAGCAACGTTGGAAAACTTACGTTGCAACCAATCCACATGCGGTTCAAACCCTTCTTCAGCTGTATTGTACCAGTCTCTTCGAGCCATACGTCCTTAGCCTGATTGGAGACGGAACTGACTAGTCTGATCTTGGCTGCGCGAATCTCAATCTCATCCTCAAGGAGATGCCTGAATTGAAGGCGTAGCTGGAACCCATCTTTGTCCTCGTAATGTCTCACATAAGGCTCAACAGAAATGTCGCTAAAATACTTGGCCATCTGGACAGTAACATCGTAGGGCAACTGTTGTGAATAGCCAACGATCTCGTGAAGTACATCGGTGGTATCCACGTTGTCATCGTTGAGCCATTCGTGAGAGTCGCCTGTTGCATCGATTCGTTTTGACGAGCTCTTGGAAGCCATTCGACTCGCCGATGACTTGGACAACAAATCTAACACTGTCCGCACGTATTCGTCTTTGCGATTGAGCTTCTTGAGACAGTGCGCATGCATCTTAAGCATGGTAGCTTCGACAGTATTCCACCTGCTTGTTGCGAAATACGAGGCCATACGTCCAAAATATGTTGCTGCCGCTGCAAAATCACCCAGCTCGCTATATCCAGGTAAGAATGAGGTATTCACAGCTTCAGGCAGCAGCAGACTTACAACTTGAGAGCAGCTAAATCGCCGAGCACTGTCTCTGTTGATTTGGCCTGGCCTGCAGCCATGTAGTGCTTCACAATGAGGTCACTGAGTGTCTAAACCAAGGTCAGTACTGGTGATAATCATTACATGAGATCACATACCTCGTAAAATTGTCGAAATTGCCCAAGAGACGACATTGCTGTAAGTAGCGCGACAGCAGATATACCGATACGTGCTTTTTCAAGCTCAGAATCTGGTTTGGTGTTGGAAGCCTCCCTTTCTGCCGCACGTTCCGCCTCCTCTTCTTCGTCCAGACTGACGTCCGTCAGCTCTTCCTTCGCAGTCAGAGAGGTAACAATAGCATTCCACCCGATATTCCAGCCCAGAGCCTTGCCCGCATGCTCGAGCAACCGTCGTTGAATTGCAAGAAGTTGTGCTCTTGTGCCAGCCAGTTCCTGCAGGCCGTTCCTTGCAGAAATAGTCGTGGCCGATTGCCCTGTAGCTGGCCGATCGTGATACTGTCCATTCTCAAAAACCACCTGGGCATTCGGCGCAGTTTGGGAATATGGCATATCGGGAGTAGATCGCCCCTGATTCAGCGAAGAAGAACGGGAAGGAAGCTTGGGATCAGAGCTCTTGCTCTTTGAGTCCTTACTGCGACCGCTAAAGGAGCGGCCCTTGCTTGTAGAGCCAGCGGGTGCATCTCTAGTGGGCCTGTCGGATGGAAGAGAAGTAGTGGATGTCTCGCGTATTACCTGACCCAAAGCGGCGAACGTCCATGAGCGAACAATGTTTTCAACTAGATGATTCTCAAATGTAATCTCGTGTGCCTTTGCTCTGGCAGTGGGCATTAGTACAAACAAAGCAATTGATCTTTCAGAACATACCCATTGATCAAATCATCTCGCAACAGTCTTCCAGCGAATGTTATGAAATTTAGCGCACGCGTACAAAGGTCCGCAAGCGAGAAAAGATCTTCTGAATCCTGGGATTGACCACCTGATTTCATACCGATGGCGCTGTCATCAGTCGACTGCTGAACTACGCCAGCTTTGGACCGGGTCTGTGGCTTAGTTGCAAGATCTGAACGTGCAGATATTGAATTACCGAGCCTAAGGAGCAAGGACATTTGGCGGGCGAAGATGTACACTCTAAAATCAAAGACAGAGATATTATTCGCAAGGATGAGACCACGATAATCCTTTCTCAAGGCACTGATCGGGCTGTCGTCATGGACAGCCAATTGAGAACTGTTCGAATCAGCATCATTTTTCCCCTCTTGCATTGCAATTTCTGCTGCTTTCTGGTAAATGTCGTCGGAATAGCCAAGGAGAACGCTTCCTTGTGCCTGTTCGCTCGTCTGGTCACGAATTACACTGTCCAGACCAATCGAGAGCTCATCGTACACTAGCAAAGCATCTTCCACCAGCCCTACACTCTCAAAGCCTCTCGCAAGGCCCTCCTTGAGGATGAAGAAAGTGTTAAAGTTCCAGCCAGGAAAGGAACGCTGAGCGTCATTCTTCCGAATGTCTTCTTCGTATTGGCTCACACGCAGATCGAATGAAAGAAGAATGAGCACCTTGAATCTAGATATGACATCTTGCCAAGCTCGTTCTTGCTCTTGAGGGCTTTCGCTAATTGCGGGAGAGCTGGCAGGTGCTGCAGGTGGAAGCATATGCGGCGGGACTCTTTCTTTGGGCACTCGTATCTGAGCGACCCGGTCTGGTGCTGACTTGGATGAAACATTGAAGTCGGCACGTAGCTTTTCGAGCAATGTGGTCGTCCCGCGAGTCCATCTTGAAGCTGCTCCAGACTTTTCTTTCTCACCCGTCGACGCACTGGCAGATCCACGGGGCTGGCTCGCTGCTGGCGTGTTAGGCACTACGACGTGCAGGATTAACCATTCATAAGCATCGTGGTTTTCCTGGTTGGTTGCCGTGCTACTCTGAGAAGGCGGCGTGTGATCCTTGACCCATTCGCGTACTAATTTACGTGCAGTGGATTTGTACGTATCAGAGTCATCGCATCTCAACAGATAGATTCTGAGATACGGTGTTTGGCGCAAACCGGGAATCTGATGACGTCTCTCTTTTTCTTTGTTAGGGGCCCTGAAGATCTCTTTTGTGGTTCTTTTGGGCGTACCTTGTCCATGTGCTACAGCTGATGATGCTGCACCCGCAGCTTGTGCAGACTCTGGGCTAGGCACAAGGTCGACATGCAGCGAGTCTATAGACCTCAATGGCCGTGTGGGAGCCTTCCAATGCAAGTTGCGAAGAGGAAGGCGTGTAACCAAGTCTTCTTGTATCAATCCAAAGACCCCAGACGGGTCATGGTACTCGACTGTAAAGAGTAAGCGGTGCTACGATGAAAGCGACCAGGGTGTGTGCGCACCCGTCACTTTTGAGCTTGAGAGCCCATCCATCACCGTAGGCTCGACTGGGGTTTGCCTAGAAGCATCCTCTGCGGCACCCAGGGCTGGCGTATCATTTCCAGCCACACTCATGAAACACGCACGCGACCGAAATACGAAGGACAATTAACGGATTACTGTGCGGAATGAAGCTTGCTGGATTCTGCGGGAATCGATGCCGTTGCGAAATGAGGGCTGCAGCTTGGATGGCTTCACCGCTAGCGCGGGCTAGCTTGTCGCAAGTCTAGCTCCTGACATAGCCCCACAATATCACGTGCAGCGACCTTCACCGGCGGACGCTGTCTGTCTAAGCCACCTCCAACTGACCGATTAGTGACAAGCATTCAACGTTGTCGCTTCCTGGCCCCGCACTGAATTCGAGCCTGATTTGCTCAGCCTTAAGCGATGCATCGTGACGCTGTTCATGAGGCGCTCTGCATGCCGCATCGTATTCTTCGCTTTCCACAAAGACGTCAATCTTGATTGGTAGACTTTGAGGCATTTTCCAACTTAAGACGTCCACGACTCACGATATGATGCCTTGTTTTCTGTCGCTGATCGCTCATAATGGGTTCACTTTCAGCTCAGGCTTTCTTCTGAAAAGCCTTGCCCATTGGCATTTAGTGTACTGCCTCTGCAATACCCTGGTTAGTCTTCAAACATAGGGAAACAAAGGCTTAAATACTTCAACCCACCACAAATTGAATCTCGAGCATCTCGATACGCTCTATCAACCTATTGCTATACTGCACATCACTACATCACCAGCGTACTCGACTTCTCCAAAGAATCGGAATGGGAGCAGGAGATTACTCTCCAGGCAGCGTATGGTACTATGCGCCCAATAAAGCGGCCCCGATCCTCTTCATAGTCCTCTTCTCCATCTCAGGAGCCCTTCACATATGGCAAACAATGTTTGTATAGAAATCACTTCCTTCTACTCGTACTCTGACACTACCAAGCAAATTCAAGTCCTGGCGTACAACTGCCCTCCTTCCTTGGGCCGCTCTCCTCATGATCAGTGGCTTCTCCGTGCGTCTTGCCGGCGCCTACGACACTTCATCCCTTGCCTACCTGATCGCCTCGACCGTGCTAATCCTCTCTGGCCCGCCAGTCTACGCTCTGATCAATTACTTCATCCTCTCCCGTCTTTTATATTACATCCCTTATCTCGCCCCCCTGCACCCCGGCCGTGTCGCAACGACCTTCGTTGGGCTCGATGCCGTGTGCGAAATTCTCATCGGACAAGGGGCATGGCGCATGGCTGATTCCTCCTCGTCCGACGCTCAACGGGAGCTAGGCTCGCGACTTGTAAGTGCCTCGTTGTGCCTTCAGGCTGCGCTATTCGGTGCGTTTGGGCTTCTAGGTGCGCAGTTCCAGCGACGCGCAACCGCAGCTGGCGTATTGAAACCACATTTACGTACGGTTCTATATGTCATGTATGCGAGTGCTAGCATCGTTACGATCCGCTGCATCTACCGGCTAGTAGAATACTTCTCTGGCTGGGACTCGACCGTGTACAAGAACGAAACCTATTTCTGGATCTTTGAGGCGGCGATTATGCTGATTAATACTATCTTGCTCAATATCTGGAACCCGGGAAAGCGGCTTCCGCCATCTAATTCGGTTTTCCTTGCAAGGGACGGAGTGACAGAGAGGAAAGGTCCGGGATGGGGTGACGCTCGGCCTTGGATCGTCACGGTATTTGATCCATTCGACGTCTGGGGTCTTGTGAGGGGCAGGGATAAAAAGACACAGTTTTGGGATTTGAGTGACGTGGAACTTGAGGCGATGCGGTTGGAGAAGAAGAGAAACAAGAGAAGCTGTGGATTAGCTTTGTTGGATCCGTTTCACCTTGGGGGCAAGTCGGGGTATGTTGCGAAGTGGTTTGGTAAGACGCGGACGAATGGACAGCCTGTAACTCGGGAGGTGTCTACAGCACAGACGAAGATTGGTGGTTCGGAAGCGAAATACGAAGTATGAAGGTGGTCTGAGCTGTTGCGTTTTATACAAAAGGAAGTCATAAGAGCGTAATGTATAATATGAAACCGAGAGACAGAAATCAGTCGCTTTTTGTTTATTCATCAACAACAAGACAATTACAAGACTAACGCATGGTGAGAGACGGGAAAAAGTGACATTGATAGGAACCAACCATGTTAACCCAAGGAATCTATACAATCGACATGCAAGTCTCCCCTTTTTTTAATTTTGAGGCCATACGCGTAAATATGTATTCCATGCCACATTCTGACAAAGCAAACCCGTTGGGCTGTAACAATAGCTACAAGACCTGAGCAAAGACGACTCCGCCCGTTAACTACAAGGAAACAACAAGTATGCGACGCGTCGTGTGAGCGTGTGTACCTCATCTCGTAAATCACGCGACAAAAGAGTACATGGTAATAGTACCGAGAATGAAAGTAGAGTTTTAGAGCATATGATGCTTGTACTGAGGTATGTAAATGTGTCGGTATATGTGGTAGGCTGTGGAAACAAGGCAACAAAAAGGAAATGGTAGTGTGCAGCTCTGCCGATTGGCGTATGTATCAATAAAAGATAGAAATGTAAAACAGGTGGGTACAGAACAAAGTTTAGAAATAAGAAGGCGAAGATAAAGGATCGCCATGGTGAGAGTCGCCCTTTTGTCGAACTCAAGGGGGTATAAATGATCAGAGCACATTAGATCCGTGACAGAGAACACAAAACGCCGTACTCCAACAACAAACACCTATGCAGATATTGGGCTAACAGCCTTTGTTACGGTAGCTGCATAGTCGTCAGCGTCAAATGAAATTAGACGCCAACTTCGGGTACATGGCGTTGTCGTTGTGTTCCGTCGGCACGCCTGTAGCTCATAGCAGCCCGGTCCATGGGCTCTTCCATGTCAGGCGAGCCAGGGTCGTAGCTGTAACCCGCGCCAGATGGCTGGGGCCTGCTGCCTGCTACCATGCGCTCGTTCAAATGACGAGAGTCGAATGTGCTAGAGAAGGAGCGTTTGTTGGATGTGGCCGACATGGGCGGAAGGCCCTGAGTCTGAGGGTTAAACTTGGGTAGAGCATAGTGCTGGCTGGGGCCGTCAGAGTTGACAGACATTGCGGCAGACATTGAGGTAGGCGGAGATTGGTAGGAAGGAGATACGGGCTCCAGCTTGTCTGCAACAATAGGCCTCAAAGAGGGCAGGGATTGATGAGAAGGAGCCGAAGACGTGTAAGATTGAGGCGAGGAGTGCAGAGGCTGCAGAGGCTGCAGAGGCTGGCTCATCTGCTGCGATTGGCCGTACTGGTCCATAGGGTGATATGGCTGTACTGGGTGGCTCGAAGCAGTGTATTGCTGAGCTGGCGATTGCGTAATAGACGAACGACGGTAGTCAGACGGGTGCGCATAGTCGGAAGACATCTGCTCTTGTCTAGGAGGTGCAGCATGGTCGTATTGAGACTGCGATTGCGATTGCGACTGTTGCGGCTGCTGCTGGTAGTTGGAGTATCCGTATTGCTGGTTCATTGGCACCGGAGGCTGTGCCTGGTGCTGGCTGCTGTAGCTGCTGTGGTGTGAGTGCTGCGAGTACGGTGTCGAATGCTGCGGGGGTTGTGGAGGTTGCATCATCGGGGCCGGCTGCGGGGTTTGGTATTGCTGTGAATACTGGGGCTGGTTAGAGCCATATGATGGCATCTGTGCATAAGAGGAAGTCTGTGGAGGGGGCATCTGCTGCTGGTAGCCATTGCTAGCAGAATACTCGTGGCCCATTTCCTCGATGCTTGGGCGGCGCGGTGGCGCGAGCGCAGGGTTGCTGGCGCTGGACAATGAGCGGGGACGGTCATCGAGAGGGGCATTTGGTGCTTGGCCATAGTTGTCGGGAGTTGCGGTGCCTCGGGCGCGATCGTAACCTCCTCCTTCCTCGTCGTACTCATCCCACTCCTTGGACGACTTATTCTCACGGCGCCTCATCCTCACGTCACGACGGATGCGGACACGGCAGCCCTGTTCGGCGACCATGCGGCTCAGAGCAGTGCTCTCGGACAATCCAGGGAACTTCTTGGCGGAGAAGACGGTAAAAGGAGCCGACTTGACTTCACAGCGGTGGGTAACAAAGTGGTTGCCATCGTAGATGACGTCGGGGTCCTCAGGATCGAGGTCCTTTACCTCTGCCAGGTTCTCGAAAAGAGCAAAGCTCAGACGGTACTTGCCCTCGTGGCGAACAGATAAGTCAGGGAAGATGAAGTAGCCAGCGGGCGTTGGGCGGTCAAGGTAGGCCATGCCGGCAACTGGGGTACCTGTCAGGACTGGAAAGCTGGGACCGGCGGTAGAGGGAGCGCGTCCAGGAGCGATGGTACGGGCATTTTCCAGACTGGCATGGAGGAAGAAGTTTGCATTGTAGGCAAAGGTGATTTCCTGGTCATTCTCGAAGACGCGCAGCTCAACAATCGGGGGTGGGTCGACAGGACGTCTGTCGGCGCTCGACTTTGCGCCGCTACCGCAGGCACGGGCGCGCTCAGGCTGCTGGATTACTTGCAGATTGTAGCGAATCTGCCTGCCATCCTTTGTGGTGCGGACAGACTGGCTCTTGGTCTCGTTGCTAACAACAATGTTGGACATGTTGGGTGGTGGTGGGAGTCTGTAACGAGTCAGCACAGGGCGTGGTGGTGCGTGGGCGTGAGTGTGGGAAGTTGTGGCGAGGGAGGTGCAGGGACTGGTAGGGCTCGACCCGCAGCAAAGGTACACTTACGGCGGTGACCACAGAATTGGGGCTCTGGGTCGACTAGAACAACGACGATGGTGTTGTCAACCACGGGCGCGAGCGACCTGGACGTGTCAATCGAGGAGGTCTGGCAGTGCCATGTGGTAACGTTGATGGGTTCGGTAGGGGCAATAAGCATGGCGCTGGCTGACCCGAGCCCAAGTTACCGGGCAAACTTAAAGAGGCGCAAAATGGGCAGCTGGAGCGTGGGGAGAGAAAGTGTTTGAGAGATGGGTACATACCTGTTTGGGGGAGGATCCGCCAAAAGGACAGAATGAGGGCGGGCAGTGAATTGGTCGTGTTGGCGGTGGTGGTGGTAGTGAAGAAGAAGAAACGCGACGTGGATGGGGGCTGAGGAGACGGAGATGGGGACAGGGACAGGGCCAGGTGTAGCAGGACCAAGAGGGATGAGTGACGGGGGATGGTCGCCGAGGACCGAGAGGCCAGAAGCAGGTGACGCGACAGCGACAGCGAGACGTGATGGCCTTGATGGTTTTGGTGGGCGGGCAGCAACTGGTACGTGTGCCTGCGGAGGAGAAGGGTCAGCAGCAACAGCAGCAGCAAGGCATGAATAGGCCAAAGAGGGTCGCGGGAGGGCAGAGGCAGGACGCAGACAGCGAGGAATATGGGCTGGGAAGAGAGCGACGGCAACAGGTAAGAGCAAGCGGCTAGGCCTAGTTGATTATCAGAGGAGGCGGCTGGCTGGCCCGGCGGACAGGCTCATCTGCACTGACAGATTTAGCCGAAGTCGAGTGAACAAAGAGAGGATAGTTTGGTGCCGCCATTGGTTTGAGGTTGCTTGCGCGCACACGGGGGAGCATGCAGCCGACGCCTCCGCGGGGCCATGGCAGCGAGGCGTCGTATGCATCTCGACACGAAGCGACGACGGCAAGGCCGCAGTCCTGCAAACTCCCATGTGTGGATATATATGGACATGTATGGATGTATGTAAGAATACATGCGTATGTAATGTGCAGTCTATGCATCCATCCATCCGTCCATCCATCAATCCATCCATCCATCCATACATACATACATACATATTCATCATACTTACTTACTCGAGAGCAAGTTCCAAGCGGCGGGCAAGATAGATTGGCACCCGTCTCCTCAGGCTTGAACTAGGCCCACCGATGACACGGTTCCATGCAACCCTGGGGTTCGGCACAGTCGAACCAGCGACTTGCACGGAGGCCCGGCAGCTTTTGCACAGAGGCCCGGGTCATGCATGGGCAGCAGCGGCGGGCGAGGCTGTCGCTCGTTGTCGCAGCATCTGGTGTTGGTGTTTCTGTCTCTGACTACACATAAGTAGACATTCTCTCCCGCGCCCACGGCCACGTCTGCGCGTCTCAATCGGCTGCCGTGCACTCAAGCCCACAGCCACCAGCCCAGGGCTTGGAGAGGGGGCGGGGGCCATGTTCTCTGGTTGGCGTATCTATGGGGCCATGCATGCTGCCCAAGCTCGCTCTGTGCCGTGCAACCCCAGCTGGCTAGTGGCGCACAAAAAAGGACGGATGGTCTGATGGTCACCATGGCACACACGCGCACACATACATACACACAGTACGCACACCAAGACGCGCCATTTCCAGGTTATGTTGCAGCCAGGTCATCTCGTTGTTGTTGTCGCCGCGCGGGTGCGTGTGTGTGTAGGGCTGTGGTGGTGCGTGTTGCTTCTGCCGGGCCCGTCAGCGTTGGCACGAACGGTTCTCCAGGCGGTGCTTTTGGCTGCGACTGGGACCGCTGCTGACAGCTTGAGGGGTGGTGGAAACCAATGGCCACTGAGGCGGATTTCCCAGCACCGAGCAGAGGGCGACAGACGGCCCACTCACACAGGATCACCATGCCCGGCCAGCCCCAATAGCCTTGGCCCTGCTCTGCCCTGCTGTGCTGCATGCACCAGACCTCATCTTGCTACCCGCGGCTCCGCCCGCCATGATTCGCCCCAAGCCCTGATCCTTCCAACGGCCTCCCAGCCTGGGGGCGATCCCACCCGCGCTCCACCTTGCCCGCTGCCCACACAGCCTCCCTTTTGCATCCATCCATCCATCCACTCACATTACATCCATCCACTGCTACTCTGCCTTTTCCCTCTCCACACCCATACTTGGCCCCCCCGGCCCGCCCGTCGTTTGTTCCTCCTTCGCACTGCCATCGCCAGCCACGACGACCCTGTGGCGTGGTACTGTGGCTTGACACCCGGACCAGCTGCTCTAGCCCAATGTCATTGCCAAGCACACGGCCGCGGTTTCATGCTTCATTGATTCGACCCACGCCCATGTCACCCCCCTTCGCTACATCTGTCTGCGAGCATTCCCGACGCTCTTCTCCGAATTGCTCTACCTACATGTCTAGGTACTCATATGCGTACTAGCCTATTGTCCTGCTGTACACCACGGCCACACAAATTCCCGGTCCCGAGATTGCTTGGTCATGACGCCAAGTACACATCTTCCGCCTGCCTGCATTCTTCTCCGCTACAACGGCCTTTCCCCATACCAACTCTTACTATTTACGTCTAGTACGCCTCCGCGGCACATGTACTCTCCTTATCCTTGTATTCGCTGCAGTCGAGCCCCTCGGCATTCGTAAGCATGTCTATTTCCAAGTTGGCAACACACTTGTTCCACCAAACAACACATCTCGACTATCCCTTACAACGGCCCGACAGGCAGTAAACCATTCCCCATTCATACAGTCATTACCGCATGCATCGTCCCTGAAACACAGTCATCATCATTGCATACTTGCCTGGTTTCTTTTCGCGCTAACAATACGTCTTACTCGAGCCTCTGTTTGTCATTGGATTCATAGTACAGACACATGCAAGAATTCATCTGGAAACAAACCACTCCCTCAAGTAAGTGCCGACAAAGGCCCGACAGCCCCAAACTCTATCACGATCCCGATCGTGACGATTCAGATAGACGGTCCACTCAACCGGGCTCGAAGAAAAGAAAGGATATACATACTTATAGGCATGGTGCAAGAGCGGCACTTGAGCAAGTTTCAGTCTGCCACCCAGTACGCAAATATACTCTGGCCACAGACATATTAATACCATGGTTTCGCATCTGTCTGATAATAGTCAGCAAAGAGGCATTTTCCTGCTACCTCATGACTGCAGACTTGATGCTGCAGCATAGCATCCCTGCGACACGACACTATTTGATGACAGTTGGAATGGCTCATCTCTTCCATGCTGTCTAAATACTACATCACGCACGGTTACACCGACCCTAAAACATGCATACTGCATTCACGTATGCAAAAGTCTACATGCCTCTTTACCACTAGTGACGTTCTAGCTTCGCACTCATTCCCCCGATATCCTACACGACACCAAGCAAAAACACCAGTCCGTCGTCGTCCGTCTTACTCCTTTATGCAGTAACCACGATTATGTCATGCATGCCCCCTTCCAACATTCTGAGTATTTATTACTTAGTAATAATTCTTGGCTGTTTTATTCCTCTATCACTAGTATGATTGGTCATGTTACCATTCCCACGGGACAAAAAGACATCTTCACTGCTCCACCATTTTTTCTATCTCACGTTGGCTGGTTGCAATCACTGTAGAAATCTCAATGTCGGCAACATTCCAGCATACTCTACACATCCAATTGATCCTGCAGCTCGTGCAAGTAGTTTGTGTGCACTTTGTGTCATGGCCTGCGCATCTGCAAGTACATAGCTACGTAACTACCTGCCTAGCTACCCCTCCTCCATCTCCAACACTACCCCGCGCCAACCACCACTCCCAGAATTGCGTGATTGCAAAACCATCCCTAACGCGTAACTTTTTCAGACACTGCCACCTGCCATTACAGATAACATTTACACATTCAGACGGCACAAAGGGGCCTGGTAAGCACTTGCATGGCCTAGTGCCGTCAGGTATCACCCCAAAAAGAATATGTGGGGGCTATATCAGTACAGAGGCATCTCAAACGGGTCATTTAGTGTGGAGCACCTAGACACTGTGGTTGAAGGCCTCCAACGCGAGCGTGGGTGCGGATGACGTGACTGTGCGGGATAATGGTGCATAATTTCTACCATTTGGTTGCTCTCTCTGCCCCTCCCTTCCTCTACGTACCTTTTCCCCAATCCATTGACTTTGTGTATAGCTAAAAGAGCAATTGACATAGCGTTAGTTGACCAAATCTTCCAAATATTTTCATACAATAATCTCCAGACCAGCAACATGGCGGACGAACTCTCCAAAAACTTTGAGACGCTGCAATTGCATGCCGGTAAGCAATTTTGGCAAAGTGAGAGACGACGCGAATGTTGATGCTAACGCGATTCCTTCCAGGCCATACACCAGATAAGGAGACTAACTCTCGTGCTGTGCCCATCTATGCCACCACCGTATGCTCCCCTCAACATACATTCCTCCCGTATGTGTCAGAAAAAAAAGCTTACGACCGCAGTCCTACACATTCAACGACAGCGCTCACGGTGCTCGACTCTTCGGCCTCAAAGAGTTTGGCAACATCTACAGCCGAATTGGAAACCCAACTGTTGGTGTCCTTGAGCAGAGAATTGCCGCGCTCGAAGGTGGTGTCGCTGCGCTTGCAACATCATCAGGACAAGCTGCGCAGTTTATCGCCATTTCTGCTCTGGCACATGCTGGTGACAACATTATCGCGACATCAAATTTATACGGAGGCACGTACAACCAACTCAAGGTCTTTTTTCCACGTTTGGGCATAAAAACAAAGTTCATCAACGGAGATAAGCCCGACGACTTCAAGGCTGCCATTGATGACAAGACAAAAGCCATCTACGTAAGTTTCTTATTTCAATGCGACACACTTCTCGACAAATGACAAACTGACCACGCCTTGTATAGCTCGAAAGCATCGGAAACCCAAAGTATAACATTCCTGATTTCGAAAAGATTGTCGCAATTGCGCACGAGGCTGGTGTTCCGGTAGTGGTCGATAACACCTTTGGCGCAGGTGGATACTTTGTTAGGCCCATTGATCATGGCGCTGACATTGTTGTACACTCTGCTACAAAGTGGATTGGAGGTACATTCTCCAGCTTGTCTTCTCAAACCGGACGGCAGACTAACCGGTACAGGGCATGGAACCACCGTCGGGGGTGTCATTGTCGATAGCGGAAAATTTGATTGGGGCAAGCACAGCAAGCGCTTTCCGCAAATGATAGAGCCGTCAGAAGGCTACCATGGGCTCAAATTCTGGGAAACTTTTGGTCCAATCACCTTCATCATTAGAGCGCGTGTTGAAATCCAAAGAGATCTGGGAGCAGCACTAAACCCATTTGCTGCGCAACAGCTTCTCCTTGGTGTCGAGACGCTTTCTCTCAGAGCTGAGCGACATGCCTACAACGCGCTCAAGCTAGCCAAATGGCTGGAGAGCAACGAGAATGTAAGCTGGGTCTCATACCCAGGTCTCGAGAGCCACCCATCTCACGAACTGGCGAAGAAATACCTGCCGCGTGGTTACGGAGGTGTCCTGTCGTTTGGTGTGACAGGAGGTGGCAAAGCAGGATCCCAAGTTGTGGATAACTTCAAGCTCATTTCCAACTTGGCGAACGTAGGCGATTCAAAGACATTGGCTATCCATCCTTGGACTACAACACACGAGCAATTGAGCGACGAGGAGAAGCTGAGTTCCGGTGTTACCGAGGTACGTACCATCGGTTTTGTATCATGTCCGACTGTGAAGTTATTAATTCGTGTTACAGGATCTCATCCGAATTTCGGTTGGAACCGAACACATTGACGACATCATTGCGGATTTCGAGCAGTCGTTCAAGAAATCGGCGACGAAGCCTGAGGAAAAAGGTAATCCGGACAATGCAGGCAAGACTGGTGAAGGCGAAACTCCTGCGTCGTTGTCTGGTGCGACATAGAGTAGTCAGGACAGCTAAGGATAGGCATCCAGAAACGCCGATTGTCAAGGCACAGCAGATATATAAGCAGCAAGACCAATTAATACTTAACAAAGAAAAGGCTGCGAGCCCTTGCCCTATACGTTGTATCTCGGTGCTACAACAATATCGCCGTGCGACATTATGTCGTCTCTCCGTAACCAAAGGTGCCATGTTGCGTGTCGCAGCATTTCGAGTGATATGCTACGTATGCCTCGGTAACTTTCCCCTTTGGTTAGCGCAACCTCGCACAAGCCGGCCAATCGCCGTGAGGCCCGTTTACGGGCATCCGCGTGGTAATAACTCCAGACTCTGGCTCGGCATGTGAAAAGAAGGAAATCCGGCGCACACATGACGCACGCACACCCGTAACACATGCCTCGAGCTGGCGCATTACACGCACACTTTTTCGCATACAATGCGAAGCACAGAGGAAGCGAACGACATGTCCACCTTTCCCACGAACAAACTCGATGCGCATAGGACAGTTATTGAAAAATGGCTTAAGTCCGGGGAAAACAATGGGGTATGTCGGCGCATGAAAGCCCCCCATGTGGAGATTACGCACTGGGTATTAGAGAAAGAGCTGGCTTTCTCTTTCTTGGCCCTGGGTTCGACTTGCCCACTTCTGAGCGTCCCCGGCCGGGGGCCACGCGCGCGTCATTTGTATGTGGAACCCTAGAGCGAACGAATGCGCCCCTCCAAGATACCGAGGCACATGGCCCTCGTAACAGGAAATATGTGGGTATTCGGTCTGGGGGCGGGCCTCTTGTCTTCAATAGGTGTAGGCGCCCGAGTGATCAGGTCCTCCGCCCTTCTCTCTCACTCTCTGTCCTTTCTCTCTCTATTTAGACATATAGAGGAATCGCGTGTTTTTCCTTTTGTGCATCTTTGTTAGATTCAGCCTGACAAAACCCAGCCTTTGTGTGCTCTTCTCGTCTCATCCGCGGGCAAAGGATATTCGCGGCGCGCTAGGACCCCAGGTATGTTGTCATTTGCACATGGGAAGCTCGGGGACTTTGACTAATGTTTGTCATAAAGTAGAGCTGTTCGTTACGGTCTTTTCGGCGTCCGTTTCCTTGCTGCAACCACTTGCACTGCCTCAATCACCCACTTGTATATTCGTCTCTACTTTCGAACCTTGGATCGTTTGCGCGCACGTAGCACCACCACCACCACCATCACAACAACAACATGTTCTCGGGCACAGACGCTCAGATAGAGCGTGCGAACGAGCTCCATACTCCGCCGCCAAAGGGAAAGCCCTATAGCATTCCGCTTCCTGGTACCGCGATAGAAGGAAGAAGCGCCATCTATAGGCATTGGAGGTTTGCGGACAAGCCTGTATTGGAGAAACTGGTTCCCGAGGTACTTTTCCTTTCTGTTTCCTCGTTCATATAGAGAAATGGTCGATATTAGTCGGAAGATCAGCTGACATAAAGTAACAGATCAGCACATCATTTGAGGCATTCGAGAACGCGGTTGCGAAATGGCCCAAGAACAGGTGCCTCGGTCACCGCCCCTACGACGCTGCGACCAAGACATTCGGCCCGTACATCTGGGAAGACTATGAGACCGTTGCAAAGCGGAGGAAGGATTTTGGCGCTGGTTTGGTGCACCTGCACAGACAAGCCGGTGTGACTGCATCAAATTACGGTGTGGGCTTGTGGTGTCAGAACAGACCTGAGTGGCAGATTACCGATTTGGCTTGCATGTCGCAAGGCCTCTTTACCGTTTCCATCTACGACACGCTTGGCCCGGACACGACTGAATACATCATCAACCATGCGGAGCTGACTTGCGTGGTTGCGGGAATGAACCATGTTACTACGCTCTTGAAGCTAAAGCCACGACTCCCGACTTTAAAACTCATCGTCGTTCTCGACCCGTTGTCGGCTGGCGAGCTTCCTGGAGAGTCAAAGGGAGACCTTTTGAACTCGCTCGCAAACGAGCAGGGTGTGTCTATCCACTACATCCGAGATGTAGAAGCTCTGGGTGAGAAGCAGCCTCTTCCAATGAACCCACCTTCACCGGACGACGTTGCCACCATCAACTACACTTCTGGAACCACTGGTAACCCCAAGGGTGTTGTCTTGACCCACCGCAACGCTCACGCTGCAGCATGCTCGAGCATGATCCTCACTGGCGGCAAGTCAGGTGAGGTCATCTGTTCTTTCTTGCCTCTTGCGCACATCTACCAGCGCCTGACGGAGCATTCGGCGCTGGCAGGTGGCTCGGCAATTGGCTATTTCCACGGCAACGTTGTAGAACTCGTAGACGATCTCAAGATGCTGCGCCCAACTATCTTCTCTGGAGTACCCAGGCTTTACAACAGGTTTGGAGGAAAGATCAAGGAAGCTACGGTTCAGGCATCTGGTGTCAAGGGAGCACTGTCACGGCACGTTGTATCTACCAAGCTTGCGGCTATTCACGACAAGCAGAACCCGACCAACAAGCATATGCTCTACGACCGCGTTTGGGCGAGCAAGGTGACTGCGGGTCTTGGTCTGGACCGAACCAAGGTCTTGATTAGTGGCTCTGCGCCCATTGACCCCAGTCTACACCAATTCCTGCGCGTTGTTTTTGCAAGCAACTTTACGCAGGGATACGGCTTGACCGAGACGTACGCCATGGCACTGTTCCAGCACGAGAACGATTTCTCGTCGGGCAACTGTGGCGGTGTTGCGCCCACCACCGAGTGTGCCCTTGTGGACGTGCCAGACATGGAGTACTTTGCTTCTGACAAGCCATTCCCTCGCGGTGAACTTGTGATCCGTTCATCGACGCGGTTCAGGGAATACTTCCGCAATGACGAGGAGACAGCCAAAGCTGTGGATGCTGACGGCTGGTTCCACACTGGAGATATTTGCACCGTCGACGAACTCGGCCGCTTCAAGATCATTGACCGCAGGAAGAACGTTCTCAAGCTTGCACAGGGCGAGTACATTTCACCTGAGCGCATCGAGAACCTCTACCTCGCAAACTGTACTTATCTGGCCTCGGGCTACGTCCACGGTGACTCGCAACAGTCTTTCCTTGTTGCCATTTTCGGTGTTGCGCCAGATCTGTTCCCGCAATTTGCGTCCAAGGTCCTTGGTGAGACGATTCCCGTGGGCGACATGGCGAAGCTCAGGGAGGTGTGTCAGAACAAGAAGGTCCAGCAGGCTGTGTTGAAAGACCTGGACAAGGTGGGACGCAAGAACAAGTTCAACAGCTGGGAGCGCGTCAGGGCTATAAGGCTGTTTGTGGATCCTTTTACGATTGAGAACCAGCTCTTGACACCAACGTAAGTCGCCTCTAGTCACATGAGATGGGATGATATGATGTGCTAACAAGATGTAGATTGAAACTGAAGCGCCCGCAAACGGTCAAGGCATTCAGACAGCACTTGGATGACTGCTACGAGGAGGCGTTGGCTGAGGAGTCTGCACCCAAGGCGAAGTTGTAGAGTATTGTTTTTTCTGTATACTTACTACATGTTTGGTGTGTCAGTGCGCGGACATTGGGCGTCCCCCTGCAGCATGTGTACCATGGAACTATATGTAGATCGTCGTAATGCACACACGTCTTTAGTGAGACCTGGTGGCATCTGCTCGACTAGCACAGTCGTCTGTATATGCCGTGACGAGGAAAATTGCAGTTTGATGAACGCACGAATGTAGACGGCCGAGGTGGGAAGGCGGTGAAGGGCTGGCGACAACGTGTCACGGGCAGAAGTGGAGTGTAGCGCAGTGGCACGAGCAATCACGGGGCGCCAAGTCATGTAATGACGCAGGGTCCTCTTTCTCGGGCCCAAGGTTGTTTCTGGCTACGGCCGTGGTGCGATCCTTTGGTTCACGCAAACAACAACAACACTCGCCCGCCCCGTGGCATCCTCCGCTCTCAATCCCAGTCCTTGTTTTCGCTGCACCGTCTGCACGAGGTGCTCCGCCTGGCCGCGATCACTTTTTTGGACCCTCAATTAGCGAGCAGCGCTCATGCCAACCACACGCGCAACTACACTGGCCATGAGTGAGGACATGGAGGAAGCTGCTCGCCCGCGCCCATCGCGCTTCAAGGAGCATACAAACACAAACAGCACCATTCGCCCACCGCCCGAGGAGCTGTGGAAAGACATTGCCATTGACGATCTGATTGATCAGTACAACGAGGACAATGCGCAACCGCCCGTGTCGAGAAAAACATCTGCGAACCATGCGGCGCGCACAGCCAGACCTGCGCCCGCAAGGACTCATTCAGGCTCCTCGAACTCGGATCGCTCTCGCGAATCCTCAGCCCCAGCGCAAGCCAATTCGGCCACTGGGTCGGGCGAGGGCACGTATGCGCGCATACAGCGCGCTTTTGCGTCCATGTTCGGCAGCGTACTGGGCAAGCGCAAAGCCGGCAGCATGGATGCTGAGCGAGATAGAGAGCAGCAGCTTCATCAGCAGCTGCTTGACGAGCGCAAGAAGGCTGCTGAGATTGCCTACTATGAGGCCAAGGATCGCGGCCTCCTTCCAAAGCCAAAGGTGTTTGTACGACCAGCCATGGCTGCCAGAGCCAACATTCAAAACGCCGAGAAGATGCAGCTCGGCTTGACGACAGAGTTGGTCGAGGCCGCGACTCCAATGCGCATACCAGGCACGCCACGGACGCCAGGTCTACACCACACGCCCAGCAAGAAGGACCTGCAGAAGCAAAAGAAGCTCAGCAAGCGCGTCTCGGACCTCGAATTCAAGCTCGCCTCCGCCCGCAAAGAGCTCCACACCGTCCTCTACAACGACCTGCCTCCCCCTCCCTCCGTCCCCAAATTCGCACCACCCACCCCCGACGTCACCCAGAGCGAAAACGAGCCCGCCTCCCCCGAAGCCCGTACCTCGACCTCGTCCAACAACGCCGTCGCCCCAAGAAGCATGGGCCGCATCCTCAAAAAGCGCAAAACTATCGCCGCTGCCCACGACTCGGACGCTGACTACAAATCCCTCCCCACCGATTCCGAAGGCGACACAGACATGCTCTCCGTCCCTTCTGCCTCTGAATACGAAGCCGAGCACGACAACGATAACGATGACGGCGATGACGAGCACTCTACCAAGCATGCCAAATCTGCGTCTCGGAAGAAGAGCAAGAACTCCAAGCGCCAGAGCTCCCGCCTTCGCAAGAAGTTCTCAAGAAGTAGTATCAAGCGTGATGAACCCGTCTGTGTTGTCCCCGATGGCGTCAACGTCCCTGATGTACCTAGCTTACCTCAAGATGTGCAGGATGAGGTTAAGAGTAGGGTGAGGAAGGGGGGTAGGGATGATGGGTATGGGGGGTTGGGTCATGAGATTTTTTGAGCAGTGTGAGTGAGAAGAATTGTGGGTTGGGTAAAAGCGCTGAGGTTGTGCTTGGAGGTGAAGAAAACTTTCGATTCGTGTGCATACGTTTTTTTTGGAGGTGGTCGTTGTACCTCCTCTTTTCGGCCTCTCCCCTTTGTCTTCTTCGCTATACAGACAGGTGAAGAAGGGGAGAGGTGCGAGATTGGGTTGGTCCGAACTTTTTTTTTACGGAGTTTTGAGGTTATTCTTTTCAAGTCTTTCCTTTTTGTCATTGGTTGCATTTCGTCTTTAACGTTTTTTTTGCGGTTTTTTTCCTTGGGAATGACTACATTTTATACGAATTGCAACGATGGTTATGACTTGATTTTTTTGGAGGACATGGATCGGTATATCCTTTTTGTGTGTGTGTGTGTGTGTGTATCTTTTAAGGTTTAATTTGGGAGTGGGGAGGTGATAGATATCGAATTTGAAGATGTCTACTTATTTGATAGCGTCCATTTGATGTGCTGCGTGTCAGAGCAGAGTATGGAGCTTGGTATAGAGACATTGTGGTAGCACTTGGAGTGAGTGTGAAAACCCATAACTTGTTTTTTTGTATTCCTACTATCTCCCTTGCCTATTCTTTCCTGTAAAATACCACGCCAATGTTTCACCAACGCATCTCGTGGAAGGTGGTAACCGGCGTACATTCCCTAGAATCATCAGAATACGTTATGGACATCCCACACGCTGTGCTGCATAAGGAAGAACGGAGCTGCTATTCAATTTCATCGCCCTCGGTTGGTTTTACATTCCTTGCAGTGTTCATTGTTGCTGTATTTTGGGCAAAGTACGGGTCGGCGATGCGCGAATGCGCGAGGCCAACGCTAGGCACATTGCAGATCATGGACAGAAGTTGACCGAGGAGCATAGTGCGAGGGTAGAAGCTGCGAGGCTGGCGCGTCAGAAGAGAAAGGGCAGAGCTGGAAGACCAGCTGAGGGTGCATTTGGCTAAGCGCGCTGAGCAGTTGAAGGTTTGGATCGTAGAGTTGGAAAAGCGAGATGCAGAGAGGGCTGAGAAGGCCAGGAAGAAGGAGGAGACTGAATACTGGCTACATAGGCCTGCAGGGTTGAAACAATAGGGAAACGAGAGTGGATAGGGTCACATGTATCCATTAGAGAGTAAGTAGTGAGGATCATTCAGTATGTGATCTGGGGGTTTCTTTGTGAATTTGATGGTGCTACGAGGGCACTGGAATTCTCAGCAAGTTTTACCGATGATAAGTGACATGTGTATGCTTGAGTGATACTAAAGCTACGAACATGAGATTGCGGGTTTGGAGCTATACGGGGACCAACAGCTTGATTGATGCAGTGAGAACCTTGGCGGGCTGGATATGAGCTATGAAGTCATCAAGGTATGATTGCTCACCGGACAAATTGAGGTCAAAAAGTCGTGAATGTCGAGTCGTGCAACCGTTACGTACCCGAGTTGAGTAGTAGACACTCGGCTTAGGCGATCCGAATGCATGGCTGAATATGAGACGTTTGCAGTGAGACAGTCGCCCTAGAAGCTGATTCTGTAGCTACCACAAAACGTATGGTACTCTCATGAACCTTTACCATTAGCCGTATTTCTGATCATCATTCACAGGATGTGTATCAGTGGATGCTACGGTGGAAAAGGGCCAGTTTATTCAAGAGCACTGACGGGATCTGCCTATGCACTATAATTGGTACATTTTGTCTTGCTACAACAGAGAACATGTACCATCGAACCGAGTATCTGGCCATGATTTACATAATATACCACAAGTGACGATGCTATATTAAAAGCGTCTGAATAGTGCCAAAGAAGGGGTATAGCGTCAGGTACACATCTCCCCAACTACCCGCCGCTGACTGCTAGCTCCCGGAGGTAGTAATGGGGATCCTGGTGTTCATCGCATAAACTTGTGCTAGCTAAACATGGTGAATTCTGACATCTTAGCGTATATTTATGGGTAATGGTAGAGCTTCTTGGGAATAATCAGATCGCATTTCTTGGTGTTTCATTGGGTAGAGCCGAAAGCTTCATCGTGGTCAGATGGTAACAGACAGACGGCCCGCAAGCGAAAAATATTATGTAAGAACTGGAGAATCGACGGTATCAAATGGATCGGACGCTATTAATTGCTACCAGCCGCGATTAATTGTAGTGATTATTGGATGCGACTGGTAGAGAGTCTAGCGTTAGACAGCAACGACGTGATATGTAAACGTTCATGTCGAGCCACAAAAACGCCACACCAGCATGCCGAGAGTGCCAGGGTAGCCAATGAAACAACGACATGACTGGCGCAAATGCCGTTATCCTCCTTGAAACACTACGGCAAATGACACATGCTAAAAATTACTCCCGGACATCTGCCACCGGCCGTAAACGGCACCTCTTTCTCCACACCCCACAAGCCCTACCCGTCAACCTTTCTAAACTTTCCACCAACTATACATATACCCAATAAATCCACAACGTGATATTTACATATGTATTGACTAGCTTTAGTCGCACGGACGGGCGGAATCACGATTAACGAACATACAGAGTCAGAGATTGATTGACAATGGATTGGGGGGGGGGGGTGTGGTAGTAGTCAAGCTAGCGCCTGGGCTTTCTCAATCAAATTAACGGAGAAATTCCAGGGCGGGCACGCCGTCACTTTGATGGAAACATAGCCGCAAGCCATGTGGAACCACAGAGAGAATCCGGGGTAAAGTGTTACGGCTGGGCGCAGAATTATGAAAAAGGTTTATATATAAAGGGGTGGGGAATGGGCATCTCGCATTTCCCACCTTTCTCCCTTCGCTCTTTTTGTCCAATTCTCTGAAAGTGAAAGAGATACGACGTAAACTATGTTGTCAAAAATAATGAAGCAGTTGGCACTGCCACTTGCCATTCTATCTCTCTGTACATATCTCCCAATCTCACCCCCCATCGCAATGCCATCCCAACTAACACACACACCCTAACAGTCCTCTCCTTCGCCAGCGCCCTCCCCACCGATGCATCCCTCGAACCCCGCCAAACAAAATCCCTCCGCATCCTCCCCCTCGGCGACTCCATAACCTGGGGCTGGATCAACGGCGGCGGCTCAAACGGCTACCGCGAGCGCCTCCTCAACAACCTGCGCTCGGGCGGCTACACCGTCGACTTCGTCGGCACCCAGAAATCCGGCACCATGGCCGACAAAGACAACCAGGGTTTCCCGGGCTACACCATCAACCAGATCCGCGGCGTCGCAGGAGGCGGCCTCAACCTCCGCCCCAACGTCGTCCTCATCCATGCTGGAACTAACGATCTTAACCGTGGCAACCCGTCGTCGGAGCCTGATGCGGACGCGCCGCGCAGGTTGGGATTGTTGATTGATGATGTGCTCAAGGTTGTGCCGAATGCGGTTGTTGTTGTGGCCAAGATTATCCCGTCGAAGAGGTCCGGCTTGACGAATACCATTCGCACGTTTAACAACGCATTGCCTGCGATTGTGTCGGCGCGCGCGAGCAAGGGGTCCAAGGTCTCACTTGTGGATATGGGTGTGTTGAACCCTAGCAGTGAGTTGAGTGATGATTTGCACCCGTAAGTAATGCCCTTGTTGTTTTGTAGAGAGGGATTAATGAGCTAACTTGGATGATAGGAATGTTGCTGGATACAACCGCATGGGAGATATCTGGAATGCGGGTATCAGGGCTGTGGCTGGATCTATTCCTGCTTAGGCGGATGTTGGTCTTGGGGCTTTTGTACATAGATGGGATGATGATGATGATGCTTGAAGGCATGGTACATAGAATGATACGGGTAGATCACCGAAGAATGATCAATGCAATTTGACGTCCTGAAATCAATTGTGTCGTCATTTTACATGAGTGAAGTACCCTGGTAGAAAGATATACTGAGACATGTCCTATTTTTACACTATTTTTCGATCTAATGGTTTATTCCCTGTCTATATCGCAACTATCGAGGAACTAGGAGATACACCTGGTTTTTACTTGGCAATCTCAACACCACTGGTAGCACCTACACGTAATGTCAGTCTTGTCTCAGCCAGTAAAAGAACTACGAGAATCAGAGTACTTACCCAGCGCTCTCTTGATACTTCCATACAACGCAAATTGACCCGCAGTAAGTCCACCCACCATGAAAAGACGAGTAGGAAGACCCGTGAAAGAGCCCCGGATACCCAGCTCTCCAGCAATCTTGATCAAACGCGAGACGGTGCTCTCACCAGGAAGACCCCGTGTCTTGTTAATCTTGGAAAGCATGGTATCAGCAGGCTGTGACACGATAGCAGCAGCGAAACCAGAAAGAAGACCAGAGCCCAGATTGACGGTGGTCTGGGCACCATTTGACATTGTCGACTTGTCAAAGAGGGCGAAAATGGCCTCGGAAATCTTTTCGAAAGCGACAAATTTGGTGATTGTGTACGGGACCCTATGATTCATGTCAGCCTCTCGCCCTGCTTCCCATTCTGATGGGGGAAGAAGAAGAAGAAGACTTGTTATCGGAACGACTTACTGCTTGAAGAGAATAGGACCAAACCCAGAGTACAAAGCGCCAACACCTTCTGTCCTGAGAATCTTGCCAAACCCACCGATCAAACCATTAGCGAAACCCGGTGTCGACACCAGACGAATCCGAGTCGCCTCAAGCGGACACAGCGCTATCGAAGCAAAGAACTCAGCACAACCCGCAGAAACAGAGTACACCGCCGCGCGGTGTTGGCGTGCCTTTTCAAGCCCAAGCAGATTAATCGATTGTTTCTTGAAGAACTCGTAGCCTCCGAATTTGAAAGCGCCTTGCATGAAGTATCCAGCAAACGTGGGACCGAACCCCGTGGCAAGCGCACGCACGCCTTCGTTCTGGATGACCTGGCGGAACCCGCCGATCATGCCGCGGTTGTAGGTCGCGGGGTCGAGTTGGATCCTCGTTTTGACGCTGCGGAAAATATTGGTTGGGTGAAGGATGTGGTTGAGATGAAAGGGATATAACCTACACATCGACTGGTGTAAAAGCGCCGTGGGTAACTGAGCACCCCAGCGCACCGGCGAGCGCAAAGCGAGCGTAGAGGTCGATGCCCTCCGGGGTTTTCTGCTGGATGTGCAGAGCCATCGTGGGTGGGTGGTTGGTGGTTGTTTGTTGTGGATGGCGTAGTCAAAAGTCGAGTCGAGACAAGAAAAAGGGAAATAGGTCAGCTGGCGGGATTACAAGTCTTATGTCACAGCATGTACAACACAGGGAAAGCACGAATTAAAGCCGGAAGAAGTGGGAGAAAGAAGGAATGGGCCATTGCAAGGCCCCCAGCGCGCGCTATATCGCACTTTGAGCCTTGACATGAGGTTAATGTGCGAGAGCTGCTTGGTGGGATCTACAGGCACCTGACTGTGTATTTTGGGTGGGATGTTCCCAGTACTTTGTTCCTGCAGCAGTTGCATATGGCTGAGAGAAGTATAGTAGGTCGCTGTGAACTCCTGATGAGGTTGTTGCGTCGGACAGTTGGCTTAAGTCCGCCCGTTAAGTCCGAAGCCAGCGATAGGAAGATGTCGGTCAGGTACCCATAGCTCGGATTTACCGCTTCTATGGATGCTATCGTCGCACGGTGCCGACTAGATCAAGATGGGGCGCAACTCTGGCGACATTTCGATACGAGTCTAAAAAGCAGGTTAGGGTAAGGAACAAAGCGAACTATGGGCGACCAAGGATAATGCAAATTTCTTTGTAAAAACTTGAGTGAGATGCAAGTGCCATGATTGAATGTATGAATTTGTTAAGCTGGTATTTTGCTACCAGTGGATCCGTAGATCATCTTTTACCCTAACGCCGTCGCTCAAGAATGTAATGCAAAACGTTCACTTTCCGTGGCGCATGTTGCGTCTTGTCCGTGTTCCTAGCCCTTGCTGCTTTGTTGTTGTCCTTAATCCTTGGGCAGCATGTCCTGTTCGCTGCCATCTCTCGGTACGTAGTTGATGCCGGCGCTCTCGATCAAGCCAATAATGTCATCAGGAAGGATACCCTCGACCTGGGTCGCGTACACACCCGGCTGGTAGCCCTCGAGGCGCTGGTACCTGGCCACCCAGCTCTTGGTGGTGTCTGCGACAGTGATGAGGCCTTCAAAGACTTGCGAGGTACAGTCGTTGATCTGCTCCGGGTTGCCGGTGAGCTCAAGAAACTCTTCGCAGTTGGGGCAGCCCTGAGACAGGAACTGTTGCTGGGTGCGGACAATGGAGCAGACCATGCAGGCGCGCATGTTGCGCTGCTGGTTGGGGGGGATGTACGCGCCGCCAGCCATGTTTTCGTTGGTGTCGGAGTGTCTGTCGTCGGGTGTGCGATTTGTGGACGCGCTGCCTGGGCCTCGATGTTGACGTTGACCGCAGCGTGTATTCGGTGAAGATGGCTCTGGTGGGTACGGCTGGTTCTGAAGACGGTAGGAGTGGCTTGTGGCTGATCCAGGAGGATGATAGGCAGGAGTGCTGGGGAGAGGAGGGACAGGCTGGGTGATGGTGTGGTAAGGAAACAGTGTGCTACTACTGCTAGTACTTTGTTCCACGGTCCCAGAAGCTTGGCGAGGCTGGCGGCGCTCTGGCTCTGGCTCTGGCCCTGACTCTGTTCTACAGGGGTTTAGTGGCTCGCGTGAGGTTGCAGCATCGGCATCGGCATTGAAATTCTCATCCTCCAGATACTGGCCTGGTCTGCTGTTTTGAGAGATATATCTGCCATCTCCTATTGTGTTATTTGCTGCAGAACCGAGCGCTTGGCTATCTTGACCAGACTTGGAGTGTGTATCGCCCTTGGTCGTCGACTTGACCATTGCAGTGCCCTTACGCGCCATGACGGCTAGTTGGGGCCGGGACCGCTGGCTGGCCTGTGGCGCTGGGGGGACAATCTAGTGGCAAGGCGAGGCGAGCGAGCGAGGGCGGGACGGAATAGATTGATGACTTTTGGCGGGCAGTGCGGGCAACGAACCTCCTCGCCTTTTGTGGTGCGTCATTGTTTGTGCCTGCCTCGTGCTCTTTTTTGCCTCTACTACAATCGCCGTCAAACTGCACCTGTGCCTTCCCGCTGCGCTTGCCCTGCAGTCGCAAGCCTGAGCATCCCACTGCTACGGCCCGTGCCGCCTTCCATCGACACACCATGGGGAGTCCGCCAGCTGAGGCTGTCCAGCTCAAGGACGAGGGCAACAAGGCCTTCAAGAACCAGGAGTGGGACAAGGCCCTCGAATTCTACACAAAGGCCATAGAGGCATACGATGCAGAGCCCTCCTTCTATACCAATCGCGCCCAGGTACGCAGCCTGCTTGCCCCTCCACACAAAGCCCGACTGTATGCTAACCTGCGCTCCAGACATACATCAAGCTTGAACAGTACGGATATGCCATACAAGACGCAGACAAGGCCATTGAAATCGACCCCAACAATGTCAAGGTACCACATCCCCCATACTTGGTTGCTTGCCATGGCGCTCACCACTTTCCCCGCAGGCATACTTTCGCCGCGCCTCGGCCAACACGGCCATCCTCAAGCATCGCGAGGCCCTCCGCGACTGGAAGCTTGTCGTCAAGAAAGCCCCCAACGATGCCAACGCAAAGCTGCGCATGACCGAATGCGACAAGATTGTCAAGCGGGACGCCTTCCTCAAGGCCATTGAAGTCGAAGATGCGCCCTCGGCCGCAGAGGGCCTGGACCTCGAACACATGGTCGTCGACCCCTCATACGACGGCGCAAAGCTCGAGGATAAGATGACCCTCGAATTCATAGAGGACATGATTGAGAGATTTAAGAATGGAAAGAAGCTGGCTAAGAAGTACGTCTACCAGATCATCATCGCCGTCATGGACATTATCAAGAAGGAGCCCACCATGGTCGAGCACGACGTTGAGCAAGGCCATGAAATCACAGTCTGTGGTGACACGCATGGTATGTTGCACGAGTCCAATCTTCATCTAATACTTACCAACAATCCCAGGCCAATTCTTCGACCTCATGGAGATTTTCCGTCTGGCAGGAAAACCCTCGGAAAAGCATGCGTTCCTCTTCAACGGCGACTTTGTCGACCGAGGTTCCTGGTCCACTGAAATCGCACTGCTACTGTACGCCTACAAGTGGCTATACCCCAACTCCTTCTTCCTCAACCGAGGCAACCACGAAACAGACGACATGAACAGGATGTACGGCTTCGAGGGAGAGTGCAAGGCCAAGTACACCGAGCGTGTATTCAAACTCTTCTCAGAGTCCTTCTCAGCCCTCCCTCTAGCAACTCTTATTGGCAAGAAGTACTTTGTGCTTCACGGCGGTCTCTTCTCAGATGACCAAATCACCCTGGACGACGTACGAAAGCTCAACCGATTTAAGCAGAGGCAACCAGGCCAGTCCGGCCTTATGATGGAGATGTTGTGGACCGACCCCCAGACGAGCCCAGGCCGAGGACCCAGCAAACGCGGTGTTGGTCTACAATTTGGCCCTGATGTCACCAAGCGCTTCTGTGAAAACAATGGTCTTGAGGCTATTATCCGATCGCACGAGGTACGCATGGGAGGTTACGAGGTTGAGCACGACGGACGTTGCATAACCGTCTTCTCGGCCCCCAACTATTGCGACAGCACCCACAACAAGGGCGCCTTTATCAAGATTGGGCCAGACTACAAGCTCAGTTTTACCCAGTTCGATGCGGTTGCGCATCCAAACATCAAGCCTATGGCCTATGCATCACAGGGCATGGCTGGCATGATCTAATGAGATTTGCAACGAATTGGATTCTGTCAATGTTCGTAGCGACGCATATTTTGGTGTTCCTCGGCGCATCAGCATAACGGAATCGCTTGGGCTATGTTTGATCTTTCGGGACTGGTTGGGATGGAATGCTGATATACGACTGTACTATAGAGACCTTAACGTAGGGTCGATTCCAAGTGTCGAAACTCATGACTGCTTGAAGACAAGAATGCAACTGTACTATTGACCCAGCATCATGAATCGCGCGTGCGTTGCCCCTCACATGCCGCCCCACGTGTTGCCTTCCTAATGTGGTTAAATCTGTTGACAAACAGGGGTTCGCAGCCTTCATCCGCCAACTTGCAAACAGAGCGCCCGGCCGAGCGCGTACATACACAATCCAGATACATACTGTGTAGTTTTGCGCCGCGGTCGTTTTTCACGATCCGAATATCAGCAATGTGAAGTTTATTTTGTCTGCGCAAACACCATGTCGCCGTATCAACATATTTTCTCCACTAATGCCGTCTTGGGTGTTTGGCGCAACCTCCGTAACACCAAAGACAACAACGATCTCTTGCTCACCTTGCAGTACCACCAAGAAGATTTCCAGAGACAAAAGGGCAAGAAATATACCAAGGGGGGTATTTCAGAAAGCACACAAGAGGTTACAGATGGAAAGACAGTGGATGTGAGTGGAAAGAGCATAGGCTTCGTGGTACCATGGCGGGCAATGCAGAACCAAAGACGGGAGCTGAAGGAGAAGGAGAAGGAACTTGCTGAAGCGCTCGTGGCACTTGCCGGAGAAGTCGCCTTTACTGGTATGTACTTCGAGACTTGACATACTTGTCAATGTAATCGAATCTGTAGAAACACGCGCATACTGATACCTTGGTAGATCTTGCGCCAACCCTTCAGTCTTCTCTTACTCAGAATCCGCTGGTCCAGATTCGTCACCTCGCAGCTGGTCTCTCACGTCAAATGTCCAAAATCGAATTTCAGATGATTGACAATGCTGCTTTCGCCAATGGCAAGAACCTATACACAGGTGGAGAGGTGGCCCAAAAGTTTCTTCCCTCAATCCAGGCTCTCTTCGAACAAAAGCCAGTTCCACAACGCATCACCTTCGAACTATTGATGGAACTGAAAGACCTAGTATATATGGCTATGGCAGGCTGCTCAAAAGAAGTACTAGAACATGAACTAGACAGCACAAGAACCAGCTCCCTAGAAGAACTCGACGACGCAATCGTACGAGCCATCACACCTCCTCCACCCCTCCCCGAATCCAACCAGCCAACAGAGCTAGAACAAGGCCACAAACGCTCACTTCGCCGCAAAGCCTCAAGCCTCCTCTCCAAACTCCCCAAACAAGACCAACCAGCACCGTCTTTTCTCCTTTCCGCCCCCGAAGAACTACTGTACAATCTCGAATCCCTCGAGACCACCGCCCTCGCATTCACTCAGCTACTTCTGCCCATCCCCGACTTCTGTGCCCACGCGATTATAACCATGCGACGTCTGACGCCACGCCCGCTTCTATTAGAGTTCTCACAGCAAAAGAGTAAAAGAGTGCAAAAATGTGCAGAGTATGCGCGGTGCATCAAGTGGGCTGGAGCACAGTGGCGGCAGAACGGCGAGTGTGGGCGGGGATGCAAGAACGAAGATGAGGATCCAGAGAGTTTGCCTAGTTGGCATAGGTGTAGTCGGTGGTTTGATGAGAGGGGGGGTGGGACATGTATGGTTGGTGGGGGGAGGGCGGTGTTGAGGGAAGATGGGTTTGGGGTCCTTAGGATGACGGCGGTGTGATGGGTGGTGTTGATGGGGTGCTTTGAGGGGTGTTTGTATAATGAGGCTTGGGCGCGATGATATACCCTTTTTCTGACTGGATAGTTAGTGCTTGGTGGATGGGATCATGTATGTATGTTATTGTACGAAATAGTCTTATATGCGAGTTATATGGATACTTTTAGTGAATCCGAGAAAGATATTTTTGTGATCTCTATATACAAAAAAAGGCTTCATTGTCGTAGAAACATCATCGTGACCAAAATAAACTATACATGTTAGGTTTTCAAACACTAATCCCTTGCCTGACAACAACAACTACCACATTTAAAACACTATACGCTCTTTTAACTCCCCTCTTTCTCCCTCAGCACAAACCCCTTCTCCCCCTTCCCCCCTTACCTCCTTCTCCTCGATCCTTTCGATAAATGTGCGTACCAGGCGGGAGTCACCTAGCCGTCTCCTCCTCCACCCCCCGCATAGCCACATCTTCTCTACCCCCAGCTACCCCAGACCCCGCTACATCAACCGACAAACGGCGACTTTCACTTTGCAACCCCACTTCACTATCCATCCCCTGTCGACCCACTCCATCCTCTCGCATAACCACATCTGGTTTCTCACGCACCACCAACGCCGTCGCGTCACTCGGGCCAGGAAGTCCAGCATACCGTTTCGTAAGTTGCTCAAAGCTAAGAGCGCGTTTCGCTACGATTGCTTCTTCATTGCGGATTACTTTGCGCAGGTCATAGCATAGGTTGCGTATTTCTTCCGGTAATGTCGGGTTTGAAGGATCTTTTCCAGTGGGGTTTTGAGGAGTGGGTAGGAAGACTGGATGTGGGGGTGTTTCTGAGCTGAGTCTGGTGGGAGCGGCAATGTGTGTGTAGAGTCCTATGCCTTTGATGGAGGGGTTGGTGGTTGGGGTAGAAGGGGCTTTGAAGAGGTTGATTATGTCGGAGTTAGTGCGGGATTTTTGCGCTTCGGTTGCATTGTTTGGGGTGGTGTTGGTGATGCTGGGGGAGTGGGGGTCGATTGGGGAGGGCATGGTGGCGGTCTGGCATATGTCAGGTGGAATCCCTTTAGTTCAGATGAAAGGACGAGATGAATATAGATATATCGTTTAGTCTTAGAAATGATTATACAAACTTTATGGTGATATTTTACATTAATCATACTCGGCATCGTGTTGTAGTAAGAAAACTTGACTTTCTCATACAAAGGACAACAAGAAACTTACTAATGCACTTCCTGTAAGTTTGCTAGCTTGCACAGCCATGGTAATGTATACAGCGGCAATCCTTGATGCATGTCATGCAAGGGCCCGTCGCGTACTAGCGGATGAAGTTGAGATAGAACCCATGCATGCATTACAGCCACGCTAGCCCTAATCCATCATAGTCGACCGACCTCTGATCAACGCGTCATTCCCATGTCAATGTATTCGATCTACCTTCGATCTACTCCACAATGTCTGAGCAACGCGCCGGACGTGCAGAAGTGCTGACATCAAGCGAAAATGGCATTGGCTGCCATGTTCCCCGGAAGGAACCAACGTCATTGTACAAGATTGCTTTTGGCCTGTCCAACCAGGCAATGATCTCAGAGCCAAATAGCTAAAGAGGGCACATGGGAACAGCTTGTGACATATGTAGCAATCATGCAAGCAGCAAGGTTATTTAGGACTAGGATTTCCCTTCATTCTTGCTCCAGTCAAAAGACTTTAGTCCTAACACCACGCATATCCGTAGCTGGATTCTCTTCGACTTCATCCAAAACTACTCAATCTAACAAGCCAAATACCGACCGCTTCGCCGGCCCAGTAGAAACTCCAACAAACAGCACCATGCAAACCATTAAAAACACAATCGCCGAAAACCTCGGCAAGACAATTTCTGGCGCCCATTCCCTCGCACCCGCAGACCAGCAATTCTCCCTCGAAGAAGTCCCCGACCTCAGCGGCAAAGTCGCCGTCGTAACTGGCGGCTCCGAAGGCATAGGCTACGGCTGCACGCACACGCTCCTCTCCAAAAACATCTCCAAACTCTTCATCATCTCCATGAGCAAAGACATCGCCTCCGACGCCACCTCAGCCATCGCTCAAGAGCTCGGCCAGGACAAAGCTTCGCGCGTAGAATGGCTGCAGTGCGACCTCTCAGACTGGCCCGCCGTCAGCCGCACCGCTTTTGAAATCACAAAGAAAACCGACCGCCTCGACATCCTCATCAACAACGCAGGCCGCGGCATAATGACCTATCAACTCGCCTCCAACGGCGTCGACCTGCACATGGCCGCCAACCACATGGGCCATGTAGTCCTGACCTCGCACTTGCTCCCTCTCCTCAAATCCACCGCTGCTACCGGCACCAAAGTCCGAATAGCTCAACTCGCATCCAACGCGCACCAAAACGCTCCCAGCGATACTTCCTTCGCCTCCTTGGAGGAATTAAATCAGGATTTTGGCCCTAATGGGCAGTATGGCCGCTCCAAACTCGCTGCTATCTTATACGCCCGTTACCTAGCCCGACACCTCACGTCCTCGCATCCAAATGTGCTAGTCAACGCTACGCACCCCGGTGTAGTCGAGACGCGGCAGTCCGTCGAGCACATCCACGAGGCGTATCCGCTTGCAGGCTATGGTGTTAGTGTCGCCTTAGCGCCGTTCAAGAAGACACAGTTTGAAGGTGCCGTAAGCACGATGTTTGCAGCGACGAAGACGGAGGCGAGTGGGCAGTATGTTTGTCCCCCCGCGATTCCAGAGGAGGGGAGTGCCATGTCGCAGGATGAGGAGTTGGGCGAGAGGTTGATGCGGTTGACGGAGAGTGTAGTGAGGGAGAAGACGATGGGAGAGAGTGCGGGGAAGGGGTGTCCGTTTAAGATGTATTAGATTCCGTTCTGTTTGTTGTAGTACTGGCCCAAGATAAATGGCCTAGTTAGTGTAATTAAAACTTCAATTTGCCATCGCCCCTTTTATCAATGAATACGATCTAAGTTGTACCCTGCATGATAAAATGTCGGGACCAAGAATTCTACTTTATTGAAGTGGGGAGGAAAGTCGTAAACTCATGTGGCCGTATCCTCTCCAGCAATTCAGAGAAAGAGAAAAGTAGATAGAACCATTGGTATCGCTGAAGCGCCTCGACAAACTTATAAGTGCGAAAAAAAATCACCTCCTCCGTAGGTCCAAAATGAATCAAAAAGAGAACAACAGCACTATCGACGTGCCGAAACCCCGACGGTGCGAAAATGATTCAACAACTACGCAATACCTTCCATACCCATTGGCACCTGAAACCCACTCAACCCCTCGCCTGCACTTGTGAGCCGTGCACAAAGACTTAAAAACACGACCGTCTCCGTCGCAGCGAGATAATTCAATGTGTCCAGCAAAATCTTAAGATGCCTTGTGAAATTCTCTTCGTACTTGGCTAGCATGTCGAACATCTTGTCGACGCGCTGGGGATCGTATACGAATTGTGTGGTGGGTCTATGCGTGGCATTGAGCAGTGGGGCGGCAGCAGGTGTGGGGTTTTTTGAGGATTTGGAAGTCTGGGATGGTTCGGGTTGGGGAGGTGCAAAAGTGGCGTTAATTTGGGCGACGAGGTCCGGGTCACCGGTTACAAGGTAGCGTGATAGCGAGTAGGTGAAGGAGGCGAACATGGAGCACGTTTGCATGATCTTGTTGTTGATCTGGGGGAGTTTGTTAGCATGGGAATCGAGGTGGTAAAGGGCAGGTGGTGCAAAACTTACTCGCAGCAGCTTACTGTTAGTAAGCATGCATTCTTTCAAACAGGTTGCAAGAAAATCAACATGGTCCTGCATCAGTTCGTCTACTGTTCGCTTCACTTGGGGTCCGCCGCTCTCATCCTCGGTCATCCTGCCCTTGGCCCTTGCGTCTTGGTTCTTCTCCTCGCTTATCCTCGACATCAATGAGGTCCAGTTTGGCTCAATGACTTCCGATGTACAGTAGTATGTAAGTTGTTGCACAAAGACCAGCATACGTGCACGAAGTGTCCACGCTCGGCGTTTCCACTGTTCGATACGGGGGTTCCTTGAACGATGTTTCCAGGCGGCATTCTTGCCCTGCTCGCCCCAACACTTGGCCAGGTCCGTCTCGAGGTGCTTTAAACTCAGGAGGTATCGGAAGAGCAATTGGTAGCGAGTTAGGGTGACTCTGCTGACTACCAGTGACAGTGGGAATGGCATGGCATAGTCAAAGACCAGCGCCTGGTATCCTGTAATGTTGGTATCATCTGTAATGGGCGCGGAATTTGCCGGGGTATAACTTGACAGTGTAGCACTAGCGGTTTCCTGGTCCAGACCCTGGACATTGACAATCTTCATGAGCCAATTCGTCAGACCAGTATTGTTAATCTGGACCTTGATGTCTTCCTTGTACGGGTCTTCGACGGCAACTGAACCAGCATGACGTGTGGCGAGATCCAAGAGAGATTGCAGCTTGCCGACATTAACATGCTTAGCTGGCTTCTTGAGCTCAAGCTCACTCATCTCAAGGAAGTAAGTGAAGAAGTCGGATCGATCGAGGAAGAAGTAGTGCTTCAGTGAACGTAGTCGTGCTGGGAGTTGATGTGTCGTAAGGAGCAGGTTGAGAAGCGACGAGTTTGCGTAGGCGTATGAGGAGTTGACATTGTCCAAAAAGCGAGGATCATCAAAACTAGTTGGCGCGTCCTGCACAATCTTGCTAACGTCGACGCCTCCGCACTCGCGGACTACGTTCAGGTATTTGCCTGCTAGTAGTACTTTGTCCTTTACTGCTTCGAGCTGTGGTGGAACAAGGTTATCGCGTATGGTATATCTCTTCTCCCAGTATTCATCCGTGTAATCTTGATCTAACCGCTCGCGCTTGATGCTCCTCTGCTCCTTGATCAAAAACTCGGAATGTGGGTCTTTGATGCCGCCGTGATGTAACCACTCGTTCAACATAGCCATGTATGGTCTGCTAGCTTCCCGTAGCAGAGTAGTCAATAGTGTGCGCGCTGCAGGATCTCCCGACATGGAAGCAAGGCGTTTTGTGACCAGACCAAGTACGCTTCCACCTTTGCAGAGTTTCTTGGTAGTATTGCCACCTTCTCGTAACGATTCAAGAATATTCTCAAAATCATTGCTATCGTCATCGGCCGAATCCTCATCCTTCTCATCCTCCAGTATACCGTTTGCTTTCAGCAATTCGATGCCTGTCGTGTAGAGTTGGAACAGCATGTGACTTGTTTGTTTTGTATGCAGATTTAGCACGTGGAGGGTGAAGGATTCGTTGGTCAAGAGCTGGTGTTCGAGCTGGGCTACAAGCGTGAGATAGTCCTTCAGCAATCGGCGCACAGCAGCACACAGGGCATGGTTGACAGCACCGTACTCCTCCCTGCTCAGAACTTCGACACAGGCTTCGACAGCAATATAGTGGGTGGCGGTCTTCAACATGGACTTGGTCAGGTCGCGCAGACTCGGGTCAAGGCCGGGCATCAGACGAAATTGGGGGCCCACTAGACGCTCTTTCTCTTCATGTGGGTTGTATGCGTCGCTGAAGCGAATATACTGCCCCTCAAAGCCCATAAAGACAAACAGCAGATCCTCGAGAATCGCCTTCTCTTGGGCCTCGACCGAGAGCTGCGCGAGCGGTGTAGGCTGCAACGACACGGGGGCGGTGGACGCGAGGGGAGGCATGGAAATGCGTGTGGCCAGCGGGGCCGTCGTATGTGGTACCAGAGATGCCTGTGGCTCCCATGGCGTCTGGGGCTCTTCGGGTTGCGACTTTTGCGAAGCAGCACTCCGAGACGGTCTCTCAACATCACGCGCCGGTTTCTCTGCACGGCTTCGAGTACTCGGATGGCTCTCGGTCGAGGACTTCAGCGGCGTCTTGATGCGCCTGACCTCGGTCTCTCGCTCTCGCACCTCGCGCTTTTCGGTACGGCGCTCGCCCGTGGTGGCGCCAGTTGGGCGCATGGTGGCCGAGTGCTTCTTCGCATGCGGTGCTGTGCTGGTGGTGCGGCGGTCGTGTTCTTCTCCAAGGGCGACGCGGGGTCGCGAGGCCGACGAGTGGTTGGCATTCACGGAACGACGTTCAGCCGTAGACAGGGATTTCATTGTCGGAACGGTGCGCGAGGACATGGCGGCGGGGAGAGCACTCCATAGAGGCTGAGGGCTATTGTGTTGCTCGTTGCTGCGCTGGGCCCATGTTTGAGCTGCAGTAGCCGTGTTGATCTTGGCCCCGCTTTCCCACGCGTCACTGCGCGCTACTCGCTAAGCGAACCATGACGCAGACCGGCCTGGCACCTGTCGCTGCCGTTGCATCGCGCCATACATGCTTAGATCCGTTGGGCTGGATGTGGCTATATATAAGTATTTATGTATGTATACATTGTCTGGGTGTGGACACTGCGTCCTCGCACTACACGCCACGCCTGAAAGAAGATATGGCAAACTAACTTGGAACTGTACATCGATCCCTTCTCTCCTCCTAGCCTACATATGTTGAACCCAGAAAACAATAGAGAACAATGCTTCTCTCGAGTGCTGCTACGCGGTACAAGCGCTACATTTCATGCCAAACACGAGCCTCATGACAAAGAAAATGTAAAAAGAAAGGAAGAAGAAAAAGAAGAAGCCAAGGTATACCCAAAACAAGACTGGGGCCATCCAAATTGACCTGAAAAACTCCTTGCCAATGACATGGCCACACTTTCACATCAAACCTCATATCGTGCTCTCCCCCGACCCGTGACTTCGTTGCCAAACAGGCGGCCTGCATCGACACAGTACCTGGCCTCTCCTTGGCCGTCTCTTCCAACCTCACTGCCCCAGCACACCAACACTGCATCCAGGATACCGCCGAGGACGCCTTCCATGGCGCCTAGAGCACCCCATCCAATTGCGGCGCTAATCAGACCAACGACGTAGGCATAAAGACTACCTTTGTATGGCACCGTGCCGTTGCCTAGTTGAAGCATGCGTGCAGTCGAGACCCAGCCACCAAAGCCGAGTGCTAGCGTGATGACCCAGCGAATGGCGTGAAGGAGGAGTTTGGCGAGCCTGTACGACTGTATTGATGGTCGGCCGTGGTCCTTGAACGATCTTGGGCCGAGGGTCGTCGTAGGGGATGCCGCAGAAATAAAATTCATTTGCGAAAGACCCAGTGCAGCCTGGTTCAAAGGTACGCCGTGAATGGACGCAAAGGTTAGAGTGAGTGGGTTCGTCAAGGCAGCAATCGGAGTCGGCATTATCGAGTAAGCGCACATGCTGATCAGGCCGGCAATTCTCTTCGGGAGAGCAATGAGCGGCAAGCGAACTACGAGGGAAATGAGTGTTGACAGACAAATCGTGCCAGCCATGGTATATGTCGCGTGGCTGAGCGAGGCTTGAACGACTGTCCTGGGAGAAGGCGCCGGCACGCTGTTGCGATGGAAGTACCACTGAGAAACGGTTGCTGCTGTAGTCGCCCTCTGCACACCTGCAATGACAGCCAAGGTCCAGAAGTAGTCCAAAAAGAACGCAATACCAAGCCACCATGTGCTTGCATCGATGATCCACCGAGACTTGTTGCCTGCAAAGTGACCCCCAAGAAACAAATGTGTGAACATGAGAATCCAGACCCAGGACCAGAGAATGACAGCGGCCAGTGTTGCAATGCCGACAAGTAGCAAGGGGAACTGCGCCCTCAGGATTTCGCTAGAAAACTCCAACATGCTAGTAGCCTTTTCCAGTGAATGACGCGCCTTGAGAATGGTGTACACCCAGGAGCCAGCCAATAATAATGGGCCAAACGAGAGCCAGCGCATCATCCGATCCTGAACGCTGTCGCCATGCCAGTACCCTTTGAAACTTGATACAAAAGGGTAGAAGAAAAAGGACACAGAAATGACTGGCACTGCCAGTAGCATCAGGCTCACCAAAGGCCGGGCAAAGGACCGCAGTAGTGATAGCCATAGGACTCCGACTATGACTGAGACGAGTGAATAGACACCAATCAGGTGGAATGACGAGTGCAAGACGGTGTAAATGGTGTCGCCCAATGGGTTCTTCTTGTTAGGTGGTGACTCTTGTAGAAACGAAATGAACCATGTGCCCAGAAGAGCACACTGCACGATTATGAAGAGCTCAGCCCAGAAAAAGTTGTGGCGCGGCGCTATCGTCGGGTTTTCCGGTACGTCGTCGGGAACGGTTTGGCGATCCAGACTCATAGGCCGTGGATGCTCAAGCAGGGTATCCTCGTCGGTCTCCTGGGGTATGGGAAGGGTATTCCGCAGCGGACTGCGCCCGCGTTTTTGCCTTGGCATATTTCGAAACTGTTGGTATGAAGGCGGTGGTTCATCCTGATGACCTAGTAACTCATCCCGATCCAGCTCTTCCATGCTTTCTCGATCTGTTGATTCGAGCTCTACATCTACCAGATTGCCTCTCCCCCTGCTGCTGCGATCGGTGGTTTCGGACAAGGGAACACTAGATTCTCGCTCTTCTTCGTGTGATTGTTTGGCGGTTGTAGACCTTCCGCGCGCAGGCTTATCACCTATCCACGAGCTCTTGATTCCCCGCCCCAAGCCATAAGCCGGAGAGTCGTGGTCACCCCTGTCTGCTTCTATGGTATGATCTGATCGTTGAACAAGGTCGTCTTCGACCTCGGATGATTCTGACAAGTTGCTTGCGCCAAACTGTCGCCGTGAGCGCTGCAGGGCATAGTGGTCTGCCATTTCCCGGTCGTGCTCGACATGGTCGTCCTCTTCCCGGAAGTCATCGGTAGCAGAGTAGAATAGAGGAGCGGGCGCATTCGAGGTTCGGGAGGCAAAAGCGAAGCGGCTCATGGCCTGCGAGTTGTAAGGGTTGGGCATGTTGCGGCGCTGGAGGTAGGTCTGGGCAGCGCGCGATGACGGGCGTTGCCTCTCGGGGGTGTTGCGGGTCAAAGTCGAGTCTGGCTGGCCGAGCGACAGGCGGGACTGCGACTGGGAGAGGAATTTGGATGCATCTGTGAAGCACGCATGTCAGTCACGCGAGTGAGGCAGAGGACCCAAGACACGAGGCGGTGGCCTTGTCACATGTACCTGATAAGGCGCGGGACTACTTACATTCGGAGAACATGACGGGCGGAGCGAGCGATGGGCGGAATCAGAAATAGGTGGCTTTGCAGTGGCGGGCCGGGCCTATGTATTGTGGATGCAGCCCCAGGGCAAGCGTGCAGTCCGGCGAGAGGTCAGCGGTGGTGAGGCGGTCGAGCGCAAGGGTACCGGAGTACAAGAGGCAGGCGCGGATGACGCAGTCGAAGAGACATGCAGCCCGACGCGACCAGGCTGAGTGATTCAGGATGACGACGGCCGGCGGGGAGTGGTGGTGGTGATGGCAAGTCCAGAGTATGGTGGTGGGAAATAGATTACTAGGGCGCTAGGACATGGGGCGCTATTGAGGCTGAAGCTATCGGGCGAGCTGCTGTCGATGGGCGTTGCTCATCGTCGCAGAGCCAAGCCAGTGCGCGTCGGGTTATCGATAGCTGTCGGGGCCGGCATCCTCGTGAACAGGACAGGACAGGACAGGACAGGACATGTACCCACGCGCCGCTACCCTCCCTAGCTTACACGCTGCCATGCACCCAGTCCGCTAACTATACCCACATTCCTCAGGTTAGCTGTTGCCTGGAGTTTGCGACATGACTGTAGATTTCGCATGTGAATTTCCTTCAAAGGGCGTAGCCGTATTCTTGGTGCCGTCAAAAGTCCAGACAGGACCGTCCGGAGATACTTCGGCTGACATGTCAAATAGACATGCCGAGTACCAGCCACGGCGAAAAAAAATAAAGGACGGATGCGACAGACGTACCGCTGCTACCAGCACTTGGTTGGGAGGCCCAAGTCTGCATTATTTGCATTTGCAGTTACATCGTGGTTCGCCGTCTCCTTCGACTCAAGCGGCTGCCGAGCTATGACCGCATTCTTGAACCCTGACCTGACCTCACCTGTATCTCCATCGACCCAACTTTCCTCACATCGAACCTGCTAACACGCTTCTCACCTTGCCAACTGCTCGAACCTGCACAAAACTCGCGTCTCCAAACACACTGTAGCTAGCCTCTCTCGCACGTGGTGTAGAACATCACATAAGCCAGCCCTCCGAGCCCCGGCTCCCATACCCGCCGTCGCACGGCGTTGCAGACGATCATGGCTCAGCCATGGGATTACATAGCAAAGATCGTATCCCTAGGCGACTCCGGATGCGGTAAATCAAGTGTATGCGACGACGACAACGACAATATGGCTTGCTCTTCCCCGGCGCTGACCGTATGTAGCTCACAGTCCGGCTGTGCGAAGGCCGCTTCTCACCACACCACGACGTAACCATCGGCGTAGAATTCGGCTCGCGCATAGTCCCCGTCGGCCCCCCAGCCTCATACGCCCTCAACATCAACAATCCCTCCGCCGCGGCGGCCCAAGCACAAGCCCCCGTCTCCCCCGCGAAACAAAAACAAGAACAAAAGCACATGAAGCTATCCCTCTGGGACACGGCCGGCCAAGAAACATACAAGAGCATCACGCGCAGCTACTTCCGCGGCGCCTCAGGCGCCTTACTCGTCTTCGACATTTCGCGCAAAAACACCTTTCTCTCCGCAACTTCCTGGCTGCACGACCTCCGTCAAATCGCCGAAGAAGGTATCGTCGTCGTCCTCGTAGGCAACAAATCCGATCTCGCCCCCTCGTCCACCGTCTCCGGCTCCGAAGCCGCCGCAAACAAGCGCCAGGTCTCGTGCGAAGAGGCAGAGGAGTGGTGCAAAGCAAATGGCGTCATGCAGTATGTGGAGACGAGCGCCAAGAGCGGAGAAGGCGTCGAAAGAGCGTTTCTAGAGGTGGCGGAAAGGATATATCAGAATATTGAGGCGGGGAAGTACGATTTGAATGATCGGCGGAGTGGTGTTAAAGGGCCTGGGGGTGGGGGTGCGAATAGAGGCGGTGTCAATCTTAATGATGCAAGTAAGAAGGGGAAACAACAAGGTTGGGGAAGTTGTTGCTAGGTTTTATGAAGTTTTTTTTTTGCATGGAAACGGGAAATTGGGGGGAATGGCACAGTCTTTTTTTTTTCTCTTTGCAAGATATCATAACGAGGCATGTTTGAATGTAACATCATGGGCATGGTATAACCTGTTATTTTTATTTTATTTTGGGGGAGAGGGGGAGGGGGAGGGGGAGCTCCCTCGAACGGGGTTTGAGGATCCCCACTAGGTATAACTAGTATGTGTTTGTTTGAATGTTAATAGACTAATTCACATGTTCAGGTACTTGGTTCCGTTATGCCTGTATGTATTCGAAATGCACATAACTACTCTAGTAAATCCGAACTTGGGTCCCTTTTGCTCGTCTCCACTTTTTATGTCATACCTTCCCTTGTCTACACTATACCCTTGCGAACGGGCGCTCAACGGCAAGGCACTGGGGACCAGCAGGCAGGCTGCACGCACAATTGCGTAATTATTCCTTGGCTTGCGCGAATGTGGGGTGGCAAGTGCAAGGGAAAATTCCACGCATGAAGCTTGTGAGAGTTTTTTTTTCTTCCCTCTACATATGCTAGTAGTGGGTTTGTGGGTCCCGTCTTTGCCACTGGCGTCTAAGTTAGTCTTGAGCTTGTTTTTTTTGGAGGTGCTATGGCTCTGCGTGTTGAGGTGAGTGGGGAGAGAGAGTATAATAGTTTGGGATTGTATAGAGAATATGCTTGTGTTTTGTGCCAAGGATTCAGTTTAGTTGGTGGATAAAGTGAGGTGAAGTGAGCGAATTGAATGAAATCGAACGAGGATAAGTAAGCCACAAGGAGATTGGATGAACTGCTAAGTAGGCAATAAAGATTTTAAAACCTAGTGAAGTGGTTATGCAAATTCCAAAGTATCTCCGTTCAAGAAGACTGTGGGAGTTTTTTTTTGGGGAGGGGAAAGGGGGAATTATGTAACTAGATGTTTATCTAGTGTAGTTATGTTTATGTCTTGTTCAACGTTCCTTTCCTCACACGACTAACCAATCACTACCACTCTCGCCACACTACCCCTTCCACATCTCAGCTTTCCTACGCACATTATTCAGGACCTACACAAGCACAAGCTATTGGGTATAGCCCTGCGCGAACCATAAAAGGGGCTGGATGCAGATGCAAAGAGGACCGTCCCGCCAGATAGCGACGGCTCCTTAATTCACTGGGGCTGTGTGGTTCGCGGCCTCGATCTGGATCGGTGGCTTTTTTTTGGCGCAAGCGAGATGTGTGGCGGATGTGTATTGCATGGGCCAAGGGGTTGCGAAGTTTCTATTTTTGACGTAGGTTTATTGGATCTTGGAAGGTTCCTGGGTTGATGGCTTTGGATAGAGTTTGTGGATGATAGGGAGGTAGCCGAGTGACTTAGTGGTAGGTTTGTATGTGATGTGGAATTGCTAGATAGTGCTCAATGGGCCTGATGGGCTTGAAGGGTTTGAAGGATTTAAAAGGTTTGGAGTGTTGGGTATGGGTGGTAAGTGAATCAACTCAAGTGTACAGTTGTGAGTATGGTTCAACTCGATGCATCATCAGTACGGCAGTTCGAGACACTTGAAAAGACCTATCCAGCTACTTGAATCGGACCATTTTCTCACACTGTGGAACCATGGCGACGACCAGTTACTTACTCACTCAGTGCAGCTTCCTCTTGTAGCATAGTCTCTGGACCAGAAGAAGAGGTAACTATCAAGTCTGTGTCAAGTATGTATGACGATATTTGCCAGTGAGATCCACCGACCCCAGAGTTCTTCAGACCCTGACGACAGAGATCATCAGCGTTGGCACCGATGGGGAAAGAGCAAACTCCATCATAGTGGCAACACGCGAATAGAGTGAGATCTCTTTACCCGCAAACCGCAAACTTCACTATCTCGCACATCGAAAGCGGGTATATCAAGCGGAAAACTCCACTATCATCGCCTCCAAATACCCATTTAGCCTACAAAATCCCTAGACCGCACCAGTGGGTCCTGAAGAATTAAGCCTTGCTGCATCTCACGCAAAGAATGCGCTAAAGGTTTGCCCCCCCAGGACGCCTCGTACCTGCACGCACCAAGGTGGAGATCAGCCCTACAAGTGACCCCATTGTTACTAAGAAACTTGGCCCCGGCGAGAAAAGGCTAAGAGATATATATGGGGCGGGCGGCAGCAAAGTGGTGGGGCAATATGTTCGCCATTTTCAGTTGGGGGGCCCGGCCAAAATAAGAAGGTTATACGCTTTTTCGCAGAATTCTTATTCGAGATGGTGGGGAAGGTGTTGCAGATGGGGATGAAACTGGCAGTGCAAGGTGTCAGTGTCATGTTTGTTTGCGGAGACAATGGTGTGGGTAGGTAGTTGATACAGTGACGAGGACAGTCACTCATCCCTCTGGATGCTACGCAAGGGCTGTTGCCGCCACATGCTTCTTTCCAATACTGCCGAGAATTAGTTTCTGTGGATGTATTCGTCCGCATTTGATACCGGTTGACGGTAATCTCGAATGCCTCTGTAAGAAAATGGTCACAGTGAGCAGGTGACTGCTGTTGGTGGGATAGCACAATGTAAGTCTCGGATTCCGAGAGCAGGCGGTGACAATGCACCGAGGTATCCAAGTAGCCTGGGCAATTATGCCGTGGGATAACGGACAATCTAGTATGTAATAACTCCGATGAGTGCATACGTATCCAGACAATGCACATGAGCTTGTGGAAGGCCATGGTAAGTACTGGGCCATGTTTTGGTGGCATCACATCATCAACGTGCTCAACGAAATAAGGCTGGAGGGCGGGCAAAAAGCCGATTGGGCGTGTTCAGTGAGATGAGTCGAGGGAATGACCATGACCCGGGGCGGCGGGACATGCAGCGAATGCCGGGGTAGGATGCAGTCACGAGGCATGGTCGGCCAAGAGATGTGAACAATGGACAAGGTGTTTTTGGAGCTTGGGTGGAGGAAAAGAAAAAAGGAGTGTGACACGGACGCAGTCGGATACCGGGTGGGGGATGGGGAGACGCGTAAGTAGCGAGTATTGGAAGCCGTGGGGAAGTCCGCAAAGGCTATTGGGCCGTCTGGGGGTAATTGCACACAGTCTCAAACGGGCATCGTGAAGACGAGTGTTGGAGGGGGGCGGATGTGTGGGATGCTTATTGCTTGGTAACAAGAGGCCCTGTGCTTTCCGCGAACCCCAATGTCACGCGTGATGCTGGACACGGGGCACGCGGTAGTCTAGACGGCGGGTTGCAAACAATATGCCGAGACGATTGCGAGCTCCTGCCATGTTCGACGTCTATTTTCCGGCTCAGTCCCGCTGTTGGCATAAGCCGGGGCCAGGGGAGGGAGGATGCGGTGAAGCAGAGGAGGAGCACTGTCGAGCAGGAGTGTTCCATGTTGCTTCTTCATCCTGTGGCCGCCCTCAACACATGTACGTACTATTAGCATGCACATAGACATGGAGACAAGTGTGGGAAGATGTGTACATGGTGTATACATGGCTAGACGTGGCATGGTGTTGCAAAAGTGGATCCCCACGGCGGGCCAGTATCAGCGTCCGCTGGCAGCGTGGGGAATGGATCACCATGGCAGCTTATCTGGGGGCCGGGTAGTGCAGGTATTTTGCTTTTGCTTTCTTTCTCGAAGCCGCCAAAAGTGGGATTTGGGGCTTCGAAGGATGGGAAGGATGGGAAGGATGGGCGCTTGCAAGGCCCCCCTGAAATGGGCCCGTCTCGGCTTGTACCGACTAAGTAGTCCCGGTGGCAATGGACGTCGTAGCGCCAGAGAATTGGAGTCGTCTAGAGCAGCGGCGAGATGGCCGGAGGGGCGGTGTCGCCGCCGCTCTCATTGCCGATCTAATAATGGGTAGGGTGGAGATGGATATGGACGTGGTGCAGGAGCATGCAGGCCAGGTGCAGCACGACTGGAGCACCGGCGGGGATGATGTGCTGCCCAGCGATACCGCATGAGGCTCAGGTGCATGTGCATGTGCAGGTGCAGGTGCAGGGCGCACAGCGCAGATCCTTTTGGTGGCCGTTTTGGCATTTTGGCCATGGCATTGCATATGCTGCCCACAAGTCGGTGAACGAGTCGCGCTGCCATTTGCCTGCCCTATCTCTCAACGCAATCCCTAGCTGCGTCGGATGCTCTCTGGTGCTTCCGCTTTGAGACGCGCTCCCGTCCCAGCTGCAGCCCATGGACAAGGCCATGCTGCCATGCTGCCATGCTGCCATGCTGATGCTGATGCTGATGCTGCTACGCTGAGCCCAGGGCGGCCAGAGCTGTCGCTGTCGCTGTCGCATTGTCGTCGCCGCCCATGCCATTGTGCCGTACGGCATGGCCATGCCAAGCGCAGCCTGACGATGCGGTCAACAAGAGCAACAACACCATGGCCGCTGCAGCCACGAGCATGAGTGCGGTGCAGTGCAGTGCTATTGGTATCATCGTGTAGTGTGACCAGCCATGGGCGCGAGGAAACTCACACTCCCCCACGCTATGCCACGCCACGCCACGCCCCACGCCAATAAACTCCGTCCTCTAGCTGTATCCCTATCACCACTACTCAACTAAACACTCTACGCACTACACTAGAGAGCGGCAACCCACAGCCTTCTGTCAATTGCATCACATCACTCAACCCACGGCGGGCGTGATTGCACATTCTGCATCGCACAAAATCGCCAGCAAGCATCAGCACTACCCTAGCTCGCCGGCCCAATTGTGGCTCCCTTTCACTGTCTTCACACCGCGGAGGCGGCAGCTGTAAAAGTCTGAAACTTTTATCCAGTCTAAAAATCGGGGCTCCGTTCCAAGGGACGCGTCAAAGGCCACAAGAAAAAAAGCCTAATCGTCCGGTACCAGCCCGCCAAACTGTTCCTGCGCACCGGTCACCCACCCCTTGCACGTACCCATCCCAGCTCGCCACCGCCCACCGACACAACACAATCCAAGCTGCAGCACCCGTCCCCCCGTCTCCCCACCCCACCCCCTTCTTTGGCGACTGCCCACGTTTCCCGAAGCACAGGCTATCAGCCTTCGTTTCCCGACTCAGAATCTACCATGTCTAGACCCTCTGAAAAAATAGGGGCCCCTACATACGCTATGGCGACTTTTTTTTTCCTGGCACCATGCTTACGAGACATGTACACTCGAGCCCACAAAAAGGACAGAGCCATTCTCTTTATAAGCCATTGACCCCCAGCCTTTGTTCGTTGCCCATCCGTATCTTTTCTTCGTACCTTTTACCTCCGTTACTCTTCCACACATAACCATGCCTCCCCAAGTCCCAAGGAACCTCCTGCGAGCAGCCCGCGCTCGGGCTGTCTTCCAGTCCACCAGGCCCTGCCACCGTGCCTCTCCCATCAGATTCCAGTCCACCGAGGCTGTTCGGCAAACCCCCTCAGAGGGCAAGCCCATCTACAACGCCCCACCCCGCGAGTTTACTCACCGCAAAGAGGAGAAGATTCCTTCCTCCGCTTCGACACAAGCTCGTCGCGCGGTAGCATCCCCCCTCAAGCTCAACACCCAGAACCTTGCACAGCTCCAGAATGTCTCCGTTCCCACCTACAACCGACAAGGTGTCAAGCAGGGAATCGTCCACGTTGGTGTTGGCGGTTTCCACCGAGCCCATCTTGCTGCTTACGTCGACACGCTCCTTGAGCAATTCAACGTACAGGACTGGTCCATCTGCGGTGTTGACCTCCAACCATTCGCTGCTCCAATGCGCGATGCCCTGAAGCCCCAGGACAACCTCTACACCATCATTGAGCGCGCCGCCGAGGGCAGCAGCGCCCGTGTTTGCGGTGCCATCACCGACTACATGTTTGCTCCTGACAACGCCGAGGCTGTTGTTGCCAAGATGGCCCACCCCGACACTCACATTGTTTCCATGACCGTCACAGAGAGCGGCTACTACATGAATGAGAACACCCACGAGCTCCAGACCGACCACCCCGATGTTGCCGCCGACTTGGCCGGTGGACAGCCACCCCGCACCGTCTTTGGTTACCTCTACGCTGCCATGGCTCGCCGCCACGCCGCCGGCCTCCGACCTTTCACCGTTCTTTCTTGCGATAACATGCAGAAGAACGGTGACATCAGCCGTGACATGCTTGTCTCGTTTGCCCGTCACTTCAACCCCGAGGTTGCCGAGTGGATCGCCAGCAACGGCGCTTTCCCCAACTCCATGGTCGACCGTATCACTCCCCGCACCAACGAGGAGGACAAGGTCAGCCTTGCTCAGCAGTTCGGTGTTGAGGATGCCTGGCCAGTCGTCACTGAGCCCTTCCACCAGTGGGTGCTCGAGGACAAGTTTGTTGACGGCCGCCCTCCCTTTGAGAAGGCCGGTGTCCAGATCGTTCCCGACGTCCACAAGGTCGAGGAGTACGAGATGATCAAGCTCCGTCTGCTCAACGGATCTCACTCTGCTATGGGCTACGCCGGTCAGCTCGCTGGCTTCAACTACATCCACGAGGTCATTGGCCACCCCGTGTACCGCCAGTTCATCATTAACATGATGCAACAGGAGGTTAAGCCTCTTCTCCCCCAGATCCCTGGTGTCAGCGTTGACGACTACTGCAACACCCTCCTCGGTCGTTTCTCCAACCCCACTCTCAAGGACGAGCTTCCCCGTATCTGCCTCGGTGGCAGCGGCAAGATCCCCCAGTTCATCATGCCCAGCATTGCTGAGCAGATTGTCGCTGGTGGTCCCCTCCGCCGCCTTACCCTTGTAGCCGCCGCCTGGTTCCGCTACAACAACGGTGTCGATGATGCCGGCAAGGCCTTCAAGGTCGACGACCCCATGGTCGAGGAGCTCCAGGCCCACGCTGCACAGGGCCCCATGGCTCAGCTCAACATCAAGAGCTTGTTCGGTGACGATCTCCGCAACGACAAGCGCTTCGTTGCCGAGCTCCAGACTGCTCTCGAGGGTCTCGAGAAGCACGGCGCCATGGCCATGATTGAGAAGTACGCTTAAGTGCAAATGATTTTAGAAGGAAAGAAAGAGATACCCATCATCGTCACGACACTTTTTTATTCTTTTTTACTTAGAATCCAGGGATCACCAATGGGATTGGGAAAGGGAAATGGAAAGGGAAATGGCGGTACTACTTGCAAGGAGTCCAAACACAACATGCGAAAAGCGGTGTGTTGTGTGTTTTCGTTATCAACATCACTTGGGGCGTTTGTTCGTTTTTCTCGTCGAAACCAAAAAAGAAAGTTAGAGCGTTTTTTTGTCCGACATTGCATCTACTTTATCATCTAGCAAGCGATCTTGTTTTTCTCGAGCATTTCTCCCTTTCAAGCACATCCGACATAGAAGACTTTTAATTCAAGAAGATGCAACTTTTTACTTTGACTTGGAATTGAAATTGTGATATTCCTTTTTGAATCTCACAAGTGAATGTGACAAACAAGTTAAGTGACGTAATTGAGAACTAGCTATATGACGCCTGTTAGGGAAATACTACTGTAGTTCAAGCATTCGGCTAACCTATAGTAAGCGAAGTAGAACTTCGAATACGTTAACATGTTCAGATAACTACCATGCACACACGCCCTTGTCTTCTCGCCACAGCACTACGAATCCAAGCTTTACCGTAGCACATCGTTTTCGCACCTCATATCTCTCATCCGTTTCCTTATCTGATTCCGCCACCTAACTCCTACAACCAAGTAACTACTATCAGCAAGAAGATTTGCATTACCCATCACTCACATTCAAATCATGCCAAAGAAAGTTATAATTGCATCTAGACAAGGTTCAAGACAAAACTGCATCTCAAATTTCATCATTCGCAAAATTTTCATAAGACAGGCGTACGAACAGGGCAAAGCTCGTCAGCCACGTGCTCCCTTTCCTCACCTTAAGCACCACTTACCAAACCGTTCTTCTACGTGCACGGCGACCGAACCTGCTTCCATCCGTCTGGCAGACAGCGATATATGGTGCGACTAAAACATGTTTCTGTGCCTAGATTCACACTTCCACACGACTGGCGCTTGGCGAGGTGTGCAATGTCGGCGGCAGTGGCGTTGGAGGCTGTTGGGGCAGCGAGGATGGATGTGGCGCTGAGGCCGAGGGAGAGTAAGGTGAGGAGTTGCATTATTAGATCAGAAACTATACGTTGAAACGAAGTAAGGCTGTGTTTATTTTCTTGGTATTATCGGATTGTGATGATGCTGTTTGATTTGTACAGAGGCAAGGAGGCAGAGGGTATATATATATACCTTGCACACACGAGTAGTACCCACAACAACGAGTAAGGTACCCGTGCACAGAAGCCGCCCTTATCCTTCGAGCCTCCCTAGCTGCCGTCATTGCAAAGTGTGTGATGGATCCAAAGGTCCGAATGAAATCGTGTATGGGTTAGCTTGGCTCATTACGAGGCAAAATGCACAGGTGCATTTCCTATCGAAGCAACAAAAACAGGATTTGTTCGGCTGTTTATACCAAAAAGAACATCTACATGACATGTGTGGTAACCAGTCTAATAGCCACTCTTACCTACTATTTAACAAACTATAAGCTTAGCTTACTCTTCACCACCACTGCGGTACCTCGTATTACACTTTATTACATGCATACTCAACCCAACTCATCAAGCGGGATCTGCACGAAACAATCCAACGAAACATCCTTTTAGTAAGTAACTGTACTGCTGATAAAACCTAGAACTACCTATTAGTATACACCCCGAAGCTATCCGGAAGCCAACCCCCCTCCCCCCAAACGACGCCTATGCTGATCTATACTACTTATATCACTTCACCTACCTACCTACCTACCTACCTACCTACCTACCTACCTACCTACCTACATACATACCTAGCAAGCCCGGCTCCTCACCAATACTTACCTTTCCTCCATCTTCAGCACCACACACAACAACAAGCTAATACCTAATAAACTTCGCTTGCTCTACACTTGTACCTTCTCCACACATAACATAGCTACACTCACATCTACTCGCAAAACAAGCCTACATGATTAGCGCCAAGAATCCCCTAACTATAGCGAAAGCTGACGTGAGATACGACGAAGAAAAATAAAATAAAAATCCTCGGATCGGGATCTTTTCCGTACCCAGTTACATAAGTAAGGGTAATTAAAATCGTACAATGGGCTATACTAGGTATTCTACTGTGAAGATCCCTGAATATAGCCTTGTGCATGTGTAAGTAGGTAGTAGTAGTAGTAGTAGTAGTAGTAGTAGTAGTAGTAGGTAGAAGGGAAAAAAAAGTTCAATAACTTCTACTTGGGACTCTTTGATTTCTATTTCTCAAAATAGAAATAGCACAAGTCTCCTGTAACCACACTATACTTCACGCCAAGCTGTTTCACGTATAATCAAATCATGGGTGTGTCTTTGCTTGATTTTGCTAACACAAAGCGTGGAAAAATTTGAATTCCGAACCACTTAAAATTCTAAAACCCTGGTATCATTAACCCATGTCCCCTTTTGTTTCGTCGATTACTTCATTTATTCCGATATTCAAGTCTACTTCGCTACTTACTCAGCACACCTAACTCAGATATGCTGCCAATGCCTGCTTCGAAGTATCATCGAGTCGCTCCTGTACAATCTTGACAACGCGACCACCATGACGCGCGTCTGCGTCCTTGAGATACTGACTGACCCACTGCTTGACATCGGCAATCTCGGGAAATGGGTCACGAGGTGCCTTCTTGCACGTGTTGAGTTGTGTGAAGCCAACACCAAAGCCAAGCTCATCGACGTCAGCGTCGGGGATGATATCATCCGCGGCTGTAGGAACGGGTGGATTGACCAAGAGCTCAATCAACCGCTGAGTCGTAAGTGTCCAACCCTTGGGATATCGATCGACAAACGCTTGCGAATCACCAAGGGTTTTGGTAAAAGATACAACGGCAGTTTTGCGGTCAGTGGGACGTGCAAGTTTCTGAGTGTCGGGCAGGATGACCGTCAAGTAAATAGGCTTGAAAACACTATTGCAGAATTAGCGACAGTATCAACATCTCAACAAGTGCACGACTTACTCATGCTGAATCTGGTCAGTGACACTGATGAAGAAATCAGTGCCAAGTCCCTTATCCAGTCGGGCCGAGACAAAGTGGTAAAAGGCAATGAAGCGCTGCTGGAAGTTCTCCGTCTTCATGCTGGACAATCTTGTCAGCATCAGCTGGAGAATAGTGACAAAGTATGGCTGGAGAGCATCGGCTGGGATATTAGCGACAACAGACTCGATGAGCTCGAACGAATAAGTCTCGTGTGCTTTGCTGGTAACAAGCTTTTGGAAGATACCCAGGATGGGTTCTAGGTGCTTGTTGGCGACAATGTGTTGGGCATCACGAGCAACCATGGCGCTGAGGAGACGGGCCAATGCAGGCACGTTACCACGCTGCTCCCAAACCGCACCCTGGATGATGATTGCAAACAGGCTCCTGTAATATTCGCTGAGCTCGCCAGAGGGGTTCGCTTCGAGCAAAGCAGAGAATATTTGGAAGATGTAGGGAGAGAACTCCTCGACATTAGCCTGCAGACAAGCCGCAAACGGCTCATACAGTTTCTCCTCGAAGAACTGAGGGTGCTTGGGCGCACCGAATCGGACGAGCGCGCCTATGCCCTCAAACAGGTAGTACTGGAAGCGAGGATTGCTGGGATTGTGTCTGATGACCTTGACAATGTTGATGAAGTTCTGGAGAACTGTTTCACAGATTGGTAAAACACCATCGCGCACGAAAATGAGCACACGCATGACACACTTCATCAGGAACTCGTTTTCTTGAATCTTCTCAGGGGCAGAGTTCTTGGTGATGAGCTTGAACAAGTGCGCAAGGAGATCTTTGGACGATGCCACCACGTCAGCCTTGGGAATGATAGGCTGTCGGTTGGCGTCGGTCATGAACAGAGCGCGTTCTACAGCAATAGCTGCATATGTGTGGATAACATAGTTTTCGTCGCCTAGTTGGTTTACGAGCAGCGGGAAGGCAGCACGCCACAGGTCGGGTGATAGCTGACTGCGGAAGACGTAGAGGAACTTGATGGCGTCGACTTTGAGGATTGGTGAGGCACCTTGTGCTTGCAGATCAGCGGCAATGTGCGCCTGGAAGAATTCGAGAATGTTGACATTTTCGTTGACACTCATCACACCCTGGCCAGCTGTCGCGGTACCTTTTGCAGCAATAGCAGTGAAGAGGTAAACAGCAGTGTCCTTAGACTTCCAGTTGTTGGCAGTGTCCTTGGCATAGTCTTGGAGGTAGGCGTCGATATAGGTCTTGGAGGTGCTCGTGACAAGTCCCTCGAAGCGAGCCATGAGTTGGCGCAAGAAGTTGGTCGCAGCGCGTCTGCGGGTATCATTATCTGAGCCCTCAAGATCTCTCCTGATGAACTCAATCGGTTCGTCCTCGAACAGTTCGATATCAGACTCGCGCAATGTCAGATTGGGCAGAATGACCTTTTCAATGACCTGGACCAAGACATCCTGGTTGTTAAAGGCGGAGGCGTGTTGTGTCGAGGCGACTGCGGTAAGGAACTGCAGCGCCTTGCTAACTAGGATGTCGTACTTTGTCTCTAGCCCGACAGACATCAAGAAGCTCCAGGTGCTCTCGATGAACTGGCCCAGATGCGGGCCGAAAACATCTTCATACTTTTGGATGTAGAGCATGAGTGCCTCGAAAATGCCGGCGCGCACATACTCCTGCGGTCCCGACTCTGTGTCGTCGTCTGTATGTAGGGAGGGGTTGTCGTAGGTAAGGTATTTATGGAGAAGTCCTGAGATGACGGTGATGTGGTCTTCAAAGACGGGAGGCAGATCCTGGCACGAAAGATCATAGAAAAGTTTTATCAAGAGATCGAGCGTGGTAAAGGCGTTCTTCAGTGTCTCGGGGTTGCCCTGCGAGTTTGTGATGAGGGCATCGGTGTTTTCGAGCAGCTGGAGGAAGGGATGGCCAAACTTGGACAGGACGTGATTGATCTCGGTGAAGAGGTCGTCGGAGCGGAAGAGGGGCCGCCATCGCTTGAAGATGGAGTGTGCGACTTGGAGTACGCCGTTGTTGACGACGGTGTTGTCGGGGGTGAGACGCGAAATCAGATCGTCGACCAAGGTGTCCCATCTCTGCCAGAAGTCGCTGTCTGCAATGGCGCTGATGGCCTCACCAAGCTGGGCCTGCAGACTTGCTGGTACTGAGACCATGAGGCCTATCAGCTCTCTCTTGATTGCGACGACCTCATCCTCGGGCAGCTTGTAGTTGCCATCTTCGTCGACCCAATTCCGCTTTATGAAGTTCTTGAAGTAGAGCGCGGCGGCTAACCGTGTGGTCTGCGGGTTGGCGTCCGAGGCGACAATCTGGAGGAGGGTGAGGGAG